CCTCTAAAAAAGTCATCAAAAACTAGCCAAGAGAAAATATCTTTCCAAGGCCTGATTACTAAAAGAAATGACACCACTAGTGAATTAGACTTAAATTTATTCGAAGAAGAACAAACTGAAGAATCTTCTAACAGTTCTATCCTTGATAACACCCAAAGTGAATTGAGTCTTTCTAAAGAATCACTTGGGACAATCTCAACAGAGACATCAAAACAAGAATTTGCTTATGATGTCTCCCCTCAACATTGGAGAAAAAGGTTGCTAAATTTTGGAGCATGGCTTGACACGAAATTCATGAAAGCAAATGCATATCCATATAAAGTTATTGATGAGTTTTGTTGTAGAATAACAGGCACTCTTAAAGAATGGTACTACAATGTTAGGAGCGTAAAGCAAGACCAATTTCATTAATTGGCCAATACACGCTCAGTTCTTAGAGCAATTCACCAAGAATTTGTGGAAGGTATAGATCTTTATGATAAAAAAAAAGTCAAACAGGATTATTTTGAAATGAAATGTTGCTCCCTAAAAAATTCATTTGAACAAACACCATAAGAGGATGGTAGAAAGTTTCTATCTTCTTAATGGATACAATGATACAAGCATTAAAAACACTTAGGTTGCCTTACTCCCCCAGGAATTACTACCTGAGATTCACAAAATGATCACTGCTCAAGGAAGGGATCTAACCAATTTAAGTCTCGAACAGATCCATCATATGACTATAGAAGCCTTTGACAAACTTTGCAAATAACATTTGTTTTTCAGTGATTTGATGAATTTGAGATCAAAGTTTTCAAAGGCCTGCAAGAAAAATTATCTTGAAATTGGATGCAAAGATAAAAAAAAAAATGTGTTTATTCATCCAAGAAAAAAAGGAAGATAAAGAAATTTTCCAAGAAAAAGCAAAAGAAGATGAAATTTTTCAAGAAAAAATCAAAAAAAGAAAAAAAATAAAAACATGAGATGCTTCATTTGTGGCAAGAAAGGGCATTTAGCAAAGAAATGTCCTAATAAAGATTCCAAAGCCTGAAATATGGCAAATTCTCTAAACCATATTAAAGGAGATATTGAATCAGAATATTCAAAACAAGAAGAAGCTGACAAAAATACAGTTTTTGCTATACAAGATTCTTCTGATGATCTTTCAGATACCACAGATAAAGAGAATGATTATATTCCTTTTTATTCTCTGCCCAAGAGATTCATAGTATTTTCTGGACTCCTTCACAACCTTATATTGAAGTCCAAATTCTCTCTTCAAAATTTGCAACTCCAGTAAAAGCCATTGCTTATATGGATACAGGAGCTCAAAGAACAATGATGAATTCAGATATTCTTCCTAGAGAAGTTTGGAAAAAAGACTCATCCTTTTTTTAGTAGCAAATGGAAAATTTTTTAAAACTAATTTGATCTCAAAGATGCTTATCAGAATCAAGTTATTTCCAAACTGTATAGTTTGGAAAATATCTTTCCAAGGGGATATAATTCAAAAGAAATTTTAAGTCTTACACTGATGTTTTGAGACTCTATTCCCTTGAAGAATGTTCAAAAGAATATACATAAATAAAAGAGAAGCTTCAGGAATTATGTGCTGATGGAGATGGAAATTTTGCTCATCCAAGCATTTTTCTTACACTTGTGTTCATTTTCTCTATCAAAGTTATAATAAGAAGGATCGTAACAACTTAATTATTGCCTAGAAGTTTTCTGATACACAGTATTCTCATATAGCATACTTGCCTATATGCAGAAGGGAGAGAGTATGAAGGAGTTGTGAATGTCTCTCTTGAATAGAAAGGAAATGAACTAAAATGAGAATAATAGCTTGAATATATAAGAGGTAGTATAAAGAAGGGATTTATCTCTGGTTCCCTATTTTGATATTTGGCAGAAGTAATTTCATCCATTTCTTGGATCTGTTCTTAAAATCTCCTGATTTCTTTGTCTTTTTTATGGTATTCTCGTGTGAAGACAACTTTTTCTTTTGTCAGCTTTGAGATATCCAGTTCCAGCCTAGCAATCTGTCTTTGGGATTCTTTATAGTGTTTTCAGAGCTTATTATATAAATATTGTAGTCTTTCATCAGATTTGTTGACAGAGTCGACAATCTGATCAATCTTTCCATCCATTTTTTTAACAATTTGTTTTGGGCTAAAGAAATTTCAGTTTACCAGTTGAGAACTTCTTCAGCTTGTGATGGAGACTTTAACTTTCCATCTGGTTAGACTTTTTCAACTTGTGATAGAATTTATTTTTCTTTCGAAGGAAGGAAAGTCTTCATCATATTTTGAAAACATCATGCAGGGAATTGGTTTTGGAATATTCTTTAATGGAGAAGAAAAGGAATTGCAAAGTCTTGGTGGAGAAGGCCATGTCATCAGATATGAAAATACTTGGAAGTTTTGGTAAGAGTTCCTTTTTTCTTAAAATCTTCAGATCTTCTTGGTAAATAAGTAGAGGTTCTCTTTCTCGTCTGATTCCTAATCCATTCTTTTTTATTGAGGAATTATGCCTTACATTCCATATGAATTTGGTAATAAAAGAGTGAATTTTCGCCTGCGAAAATTTGGATTTTATTGAATTTTTTTATTTTTGCCAATCCGATATGATACGATATGATAATGAAAGAAAAAAGAAAAATAAAAATAAGGATTCATTAGAATATTATAAGATAATCCTTCCTCCTTGATTGAGGAGGTAGCTTACAAGGCTTCTTTTTCTTCTTTTTGGAACTATCTTCATCTTGATCATCTGATTCTTCGTCAGATGTGTCTCCAGAGTGTATCCATCATTCACAATCAAGGACACACATAGAAGGATTTGTGTCCCACATAAAGTGACCATCAAATTTGTCAGAATAAATAGTAGAACCATTTGGTCTAAAACTGTAAATAAGGATATGATCCTCTCCTTCTGCAGGGGTGATCATCATGAACTGAAAACAATTTGTAGGCTGACTGGGATTATCTCTTGGGTTTTTGAAGATTGTCCGAACTACACCATCAACGGATCTTCTAAAAGTGACTTCAGAAGATTGAATTGATTTGTTGTTTTTCTGAATCTTTTCATAGTTTGTAGTTCATTCTAACAGAATCATCTTGAGAAGTTCTTCTTTAGGAATTTGTCTAGGAACTTGAATTATGGAAGGAATATCATTTTCATCTCTGTTGACTATGACAAAGAGATTATCATTTGTTATTCCTAGCATAGGAAGATTGTGTGCATGATTATGAAGTCTGTAGATCATTTGGTGGTGTAGTATTATTGATAGAACTTTTTCAATTTGTTCTACTCCAGTGATTTAGATCTGAACCTTCAGTCTGGTCGGAAGAGTTCTATCTTTCAAGACAACATTATAATTTGGAAAAATGGTCAAAATCACACTTTCAGCATGGAGAGTGGTTAGCAAAGTAGCAATGACCGCATGCTCATAATTGACATAAGTGGTGTCAAGAAGAGCAATTATGGCAGTAATAGGGAGATTTTTTCTACCATGCAATAATAAGACTAACCTTACTATCCCAAAATGTAAGGAAGTATATCCTTATGATCTCCAATGATCAATAAACATCTTTGGGATCTCAAGATCAACTTTTTGTTCTTGGAATGTAGCCTTTAATTCACACTGATCCATTTTTGTTGACCGGACGTATTCCTTGTTGGGAGTTTGCTTTTTGAGAATCAACATATTCATCTTGTTGGCAAAAGATCTTTTCCTTCTAAAAATATTGTATGGGCTCAATAAAGAAACTATGGATTCATGTGCATTGGCATCTTCTGGAACATAAGTATATTTAATCAAATTCTCAATTTTTTCAGCTGCAGTTCCAATGCAGTCTTTTGGCAGAGACACGGGTGAGTTTAAAAAGATAGGAAAGATTTCAGTAAATGTAGATTGGATAGTGTTTGTGGTAGTGTTCATGGTACTATAGATATTATTCACTTTATTTATGCTTTTGCTAAACATGCACCGGAGAGCTTAGTGTTGAAAATAATATAATTATATTTTTTTAAAAATTATTAATTATTAATTTTATTTTATTATTCTAATTTTATTATTATTATTATTTATATCTTCAGTTATATGTATCGTTTACGTGAGTAATTATAATGATTAAAGTATTTTAAATTTTTTGAAAAAAAAAACACAAATTTTTTATTATATTTATTCTCTGAGTTATGAGTTAAGAGAAACTTGCTAGTTCTTGAGAGTCTTGTACATTTTGACATAAAGAATCTGTTATATTTTAGAATATTTTTAACTAGAAATAATTTTTAAAGACAATGTTATACACATCTCCGACTATATTATTGATCAACTATTTTGGATCATTTCGACAACATTCATGGGACAAGAAACTCACTTCCTGAACACTTCTGTATTGGAAGAGCCATTTTGCTTACCAGTTTGCACAATTGTTACCTCGCCATGGTGTGGTCCAGAAGAACGGTCCAATTCTACTGCAACAACTTCTTAATGCTAAGATTCGTGGAGAGAAATGTCTTAATTGATCTACTGTGATATCATAGTAGAATCTGTGTGACTTACTATAGGAGTAAAAATTTAGAAATAATTATAATAAAAATATGGTGCAGGTATCCATATAATAGAGTTTTTTCTATAATAAATAAGCTTAGATCGAGAGTTATGAATACAGAGAGAGTTTTTAGCAGTGATATTTGGTATGAATTTTTTTTAGATGGATTTTAAGTATTTAAAAATGAAAAGAAGTTTAACCATAGTCATTCATTCAGTAGTAAATTACAACAGCGGTGTTTATAAATTTTGATAGGCTGGTTTTAATAAAAATTGTAAAAATATGAAATAAAGGAAAGTGCATATAAGCATTTCTCTAATTCAAATTTTTATAATAAAATAATCCAAATCATACATACTAAACAAAAAATTAAAAGAAAAAGCAAAATGACAGGAGTAATCATTTGAATACTTTAGTAAAAGTATAAAATAGCAATTTTTTTGGCGGTTTCTTGAGTTGGGTGAATAATCCTATGGCCGCTTTGTCAACGAGCTCTCGCCCTTCCCTTCTAAACCTTCCCAAGTTATCTTCTTCCGAACGATCTAATTTCCATCCAAAACAACTGAATTTAACATCATGGCCCTCAAAATTAAATTCATATAATCCATTAGCTTTGAGGGGAATCTCAAACTCAACGTGTACACAATGTAACGTGTTCAGCGAAGAATTGAATGGGAGCGAAGTGGAAGAGAAGGGTTTCAGCTCAACAGAGGATAGGCAATTCGTACGTTGGTTTCGTGAGACGTGGCCTTACCTGTGGGCGCATCGTGGTGCCACCTTTGTTGTCATCGTTTCCGGTGAAATTGTCGCTAGCCCTTTCTTGGATCCCATTCTCAAGGCACTTCCAAAACTTCAAACTTCATCTTTATTGGGTCATTCAGAAAATTAAAAAAATAGATAAATATTGAAATTATAATTTTTCAAAAACAAAAATAAATCCATTCACTGCACTCTTCAATTAATCCTATAATTAGCTATGTTATGTGCATGCAGGATATAGCATTCCTTCATCACCTGGGAATCCGGTTTGTTGTTGTTCCGGGGACCCATGTGCAAATTGACAATCTTTTGCGTGAGAGAGGTGAGTCACATTTGCATCACAATGAAATTAAATCATGGGTGCTAGTTTCATAGTTTTCTTGATTCTTCCTATAGTGAAAATGACCGAGTTTTATGACCTTGTGCTGTTACTTGCTCACCACATTAGAGAATAATGAAATTTTTGATAGTGTAGTGCATGATCATGGACCTTGTTGTTGGTTTGTAGGGAGCCAGCCTAAGTATGTTGGTCCATATAGAATAACTGATGATGAATCTCTAGCAGCTGCAATGGAAGCAGCTGGGAGAATAAGATTGATGATTGAGGCAAAGCTTTCTCCTGGACCTTCTATGTGCAATATTCGTCGACATGGTGACAATAACCGGTTGCACGAAGTTGGTGTCAGTGTTGCTAGTGGGAACTTTCTTGCAGCCAAGGTTTGAAATTTTGTATTCAATTTTTTCATAAAATGTGGACAGCTTGGTTTCTTTGAATTTCATTATTCTGTTATCACAGTAATGATGGCATTCTGATATTATGCTTCTGTCTTCCGTTTTCTGTTTCTATCACTGTGTTAGAGCAAGGCTTTTTGAATTTTTTGTTTGGCAGAGAAGAGGGGTTGTCAAAGGAATTGATTATGGGTCAACTGGGGAAGTTAAAAAAGTAGATGTTTCTCGCATGCGTGAGAGGCTTGATGGTGATTGTATAGTTATTTTAAGCAACTTGGGCTACTCCAGCTCTGGAGAAGTATTAAATTGCAAGTATGCATTAGAGCTTCTGATGATTTCTTTTTACAATTTGGTGTGTCTTGGGTGCTTCCTAACATATATTCTGCTGTTATAACATTTTTGTATTTTCCGACTTTTTATCTGTTACGTTTCTATTTCATACTCTATATTTTGTGTGTAATAGAAAGCCTCAATATTTTATTAGGGGGTCAGCCATGGCCCAGTGTAAGGTTGCTGCCTTGTGACTAGGTCATAGGTTCTAATTCAGTGTACAGTTGACTGTCCCCAAACCCCACACTGGTAGAACCTACTATATATCTTCAGTTAGGTTTCTTGTATCAATATCTTGGAGAATAGTATATGTTTTTTCAAGGTTAGTTTTTAAGGATTTGAGTTGGGCATAGATAGGAAGAAACAGCTGCATGGAGAATCTGTTATGATAAAAAGCATAGAAAGAAGTTGGTATCTTAGTGAAACAATAAAGATAAGAGATTTTATCCAGTTCTCAGAACATAAAATTAAAATAGTTGATTTCTAGAACTTAGCATCTAGTTGAATGTGAAAGACAAGATACTGAGAAATTAGTGATATGAGTTTGTAATAACTCTTGTCTGAATTGAATTTGCACCTGTGTCAATGTGTTCAATTTAATTTTCTCTTGAATTTTGCAGTATAGTACTAGGATGTGATCAAACAGATACGAAAAGGAAAAAAGGTATTGATATTGGTGAATTTTATTTTCCACAGCACCTATGAAGTTGCAACAGCTTGTGCCTTGGCTATAGGAGCAGACAAACTTATATGCATTATAGATGGTCCAATACTTGATGAAAATGGACACCTTATTCGATTCTTGCCTCTTCAAGAAGCAGACATGCTGATTCGAAAACGGGTTGAGCAAAGTGAAACAGCTGCTAACTATGTGAAAGCTGTTAATGAAGAAAATTTCAACTCTCTTGGGTACAACAATTTTAATGGGGTAGTTTGTTCTCCACAGAATAGAAAACCATTTTCAGAATATCATAATGCAACCTTTCATAATGGTGTTGGTTTTGACAATGGGAATGGTCTATGGTCTGGGGAGCAAGGTTTTGCTATTGGAGGTCAGGAGTGGTTAAGTCGAATGAATGGTTACCTGTCAGAACTGGCTGCTGCTGCCTTTGTTTGCAGAGTGAGTCCAAGGTTCAACTATTCCTTGGTTATTTAAGTTTAATCATGGCAGAGTGGTCCATCTCATTTTTTGAAACTCCTGATAGTCCTTGAAGATTTGTCAAGTGACTAATTTCCATAAATATAATGGACTCAATGTGAGAATTTTTTGGGAAATAACTTGTTTTTGCTAATCAGTTGTTCAATCATTGCATACTTAAACTGAAATTTCATTGAGAAGTTGCTGGTTGAAATAGGATGAAATTGCTTGAAATTCCTGATATATGTTGCTAATAATATCTTCTACCGTCTGTCAGGGTGGTGTTCAAAGAGTTCATTTGTTGGATGGCACTATTAGTGGAGTTCTATTGTTGGAATTGTTTAAGAGAGATGGGATGGGAACAATGGTGGCTAGGTAGGCAAGCAAACTTTGCACTCTATCTCTGGATTTTATTTTTTTTTCTTATTATTATGAAATATTTTGTCTATGGGTTGGCAACTAATTGGTAAGAATCAGGAATATGTAGCTAGTTGTATCCTTTATTTGTTCACCCAACTGTTCTGTTTCTTAATTTTATTTCAGTTATTAGTGTTAATAAACCATATTTTTAGTTGGCATGCCTGTGGATTTCTTGCTGGGGTCATCATCATATTGATTATTTTGGTGAGATTCAAACATTTTTTGTAGTTTTCCATGATGAGCTAATGGTTACATGGCTTTTTGTCAAGATTGAGGGCTGTAAAATTATGACTTGCTTTTCGGAACTGTTTATGAGCATTCCCCCTTTTTTTTACACTTTTATTAACCACTGATTGCAAAAGATAGAGGTAGTTGAAACAGAAAACTGGTTATCTAAGTTTTAAATAGCTCAAACTTGTTAAATTCTACCCTGCCACAACAAGATATCATGCCCTTGGAGAATTTTTTTGCTTGCTTTTAATTTCAAAGCACAAACATAAATTAGTACCAAGATGAAGTTCGTGGGATTTTCAATGCTGCTACCTGCGAGCAATAAACCATACATTGCAGATTGGTGTTGGTGTTATACCCGATTGAGCTCTTTTAAATATATATGTGTGTATTTTCATTTCTCAAATCCTTTATTTTTGCTTGCTTTCTTTCAATAATTTTGCAGTGACCTTTATGAAGGCACCCGGATGGCTCAAGAAAAAGATATTTCTGGAATAAAACAACTTATCCAGCCTTTGCAGGACTCTGGCATATTGGTTAAGCGGACTGATGAAGAGGTTTGCTGAACCTACACTTGATATCTTCTTCATAGATATTGTAGAGGCCATCTAATAGCCCCATTACTGGTGATTTTTAGTAGTCTCACACAAATACCATTTTCTGTTCATAGCTGCTTCAATCGTTAGGCTCCTTCATTGTTGTGGAAAGAGAAGGTCAAATAATTGCTTGTGCTGCACTTTTTCCTTTCTTTGAGGAGAAGTGTGGAGAGGTTGCTGCAATTGCAGTATCTCCTGATTGTCGAGGCCAAGGACAAGGAGACAAATTACTTGGTATGCTAATGCTATTTATTGCTTCTATTTTTTGACAATTCTTGTTCTATAGTGAATCAGTGATTAATAATTCATGGAATATATTGGAATTACATAGTTATGTTTTGTTGTGTGTGTGTGTATATATATATATGTTGCTTCTATATGTGTATTATATATAACAGATGAAACCTTGTTTTAACCTTAAATTCCTTACTGCCAATTCATTTACTGGTCCAATTTTAAAAACATTGTTCAGCATTAAATTATTAGTTTTGGGAAGTTCATTTGTCAGAGTAGAAAATGTCCACACATTCATAAGCATTCAACTTCTTGATAATGCCTTACCAGGGAAATTAATCTGAAGGCATAAAACCACAGATTTTTCATTTTTTTTCTATGTTGGTATTGAAGAGTAGTGAACCCAACTAGGAAGGTAAGTTCCTAGAAAGTATTCCTATAGATTTGACTCTACTCTAAAGTGAGGTTTGCATTTTAGAGGATAAAGTACAGTTATAATCATTAATTATAACCTCACTGGTTGAAATTGTGATAACATACATGCACAAGTATAAAAAATTATGAAGTTGTTAAAATCTACTGTTGGTTTTCTAATTAATAGTTATAACTGCACTTTATTCTCTAAATTGCCCTCTCACTTTAGAGGAATTAAATCAATGTTTCTACAATACTTGACTTGTTCATGCTGTTCTCCTTGTATCTAGATTGTTCACAAATTGAATATTGAACCATAACATACAAGGGAGATTTGTTTCTGATTTCACTGAGAAACTAGTTTTATGATTTTGTGGTCCATGCAGGGCATGGTTACATGGCGCTTGTGACATGTTTTGACCGTATCTATTTAATTGTATTATCAAATGTAACAGATTATATCGAGAAGAAGGCATCATCTCTTGGATTTGATATGCTTTTCTTGCTTACAACTCGTACAGCAGATTGGTACGTACCTTCTTAAATACATGTCAAGCATATGTCAATATATTTTACCTGGAATCAACATCATTTTTTTTTTCTTTCAATCGATTGTTACTTACCCTGTTATTTTGGATACTGAATTTGGTTTGTTAACTTTGTTGAAAGAACCAAGAGTGGGGTAAATTGGTTCTTTGAATTCAATAACAAAAAGTTATAAAATTAAAATCAATAAAACAATAATCATAATATCTTGGTTTAGCAGCAATGTGTGATGTATGTCTAGTTCCCAAGAAACTGCTTGAGATTTTCTCCACTTCACGCTGAGTTTTTGCTTAGAAGGACTTTGACAAACCCACCTCTCTCTTACTCAAAGCAGAGTGTAAAATGATTTCTTTCTCTAAAGACACTACAAAAGTCTCCTTCTATCTCTACTGAATATAGAGTATTATGGTAATTTCACGAAGGACATCACAAAAGATTTTCTCTCAAAATCAGAACTCTTTCTCCCAGGATAGTAAGTCAAAGAACAGTGATGAGAATGAGCACTATGTAGTAGATCTTTTCTCTTAATTTTTGTCTTAGCTCATCGTGTGTTTCTTCTTCTGAGTTGTGGCTATATAAAGTAAATTTCCATCAATTTTTTCTTCTTTTACTTCACTAGTACCTCCATATATTATTTCTAATTTTTTTACAATTGTTTGACTGACACTATGAAAATTTTCTAAAATCATATAAATTTATAGCATGATAAAATATATATTTTGCCTTTGCATTTTGTTCCATCTTTTTCATATCTTGATCATTGAATTATTCTTTATATTTCCTCACCTCTTTGTCATCAACTTTCTTTGAAATGTTTGGTTCATTTTTATAACAAGTCAAAGTTTGTGATCTACAAATTGAATGAATATCCTCATCCACTACTTCTAATAGATGTAATTAGTTTGGTTGAAGTACAGTGGTCTTACAATGGATTGTCCTTCAATAATGATTTAGTTCATCAAATCCCCTACCATTGAACTTACAAGAATCGACTTCTCAAGCCATTAGGCCTTTTAAAGAATTAAGCTTCAAGGCCAATTGAAAGAACCCATGGAAGAGGGGGGGGGGGGGGGGGGGGGTTTGAATTGGTTCTTTGATTTCAATAACCAAAAAAGTATCAAATTAAAACAATGATCATACTATAAACGCAACAAAATAAAAGAGAACAATGAGAGAATGTAGTGAATTTATCCTAGTTCAGTCACAATGTGTAACCTATATCCAGCCCTCAAGCGACTACTTGAGATTTTCTTCATTTCATGCTGAGATTTTGCTTAGAAGGACTCTTACAAAGCTTTCTCCACCTTAATCCAAAGCATAGTGTACATTGTTTTCATTCTCTAAGGACACCAAATTGCTTTAAATAAAGATATCCAAATCAAATTAATAAGAAAACAATTCACATTCTCTCTTTTCAATATCAAACACATAATTACTTATTTTAATCACACATTCAAATCGTATATGTTTAAATTGTACTCATCATCAAAACATATATACCTAACATTCATGAATGCTTATCTAAAGACAAGAATTTCCGATATTTTGACAGGTTTGTGAGGCGTGGATTTTCAGAATGCTCAATTGATTCTATACCTGAGAAGAAGAGGATAACGATTAATCTGTCCCGCAAGTCTAAGTATTACATAAAGAAGCTTCTACCTAATAAGAGTGGAATTACTGTTGGCAGGAAAAACACTCCCTGTTAGCGCATTTTTGTTTTCCAACGGGGAAAGGGTGGTTGGATCAAGATGTTTGCACTTCCTTAGACCGTAGGTAATAATCCCATAATCATATGGTTGCTGGAGAATCAGAAGCTTTAGCAAGTTTCCTCCGCATTTATTAGTATTTAATTTCCAGATTTCAGGTTATTTTTTTTCTCCTCACCCCCAAATTAACTAAAGAATATTGATCTACTAGTTGTCATGTCATATATATATGGATTGATGGTTATTCTTTTGTATCTTCTTAAAATTAAGATAAAGATATTAACACAAGTAAATCGTGAAGAAAACGAATTACACAAGGCAGGATTTACACTGTTCAATACTCAACCAATTTTTCACTAGTAAAGGGCTCTTGGAGCTTTATAAATTACGGACTTAAATATTGGAAGTTTGTGACACGGCTTTCGTGCTGACATTTTTCTTCACTGAAAAGGTTTCAGTGAGCATAATTTTGTGGTATTAGTATTATAGCAGTCCAGTGGTGCTTATTGGCAGTCAGCACAGCAGAGCACAGTAATAATCATTTTAAAACAAAATAAATCGTACTAGATTTCAAATGGGATTCATGTACTACTTCATGTGTTTTAAGTTTTCATGTATCACCAGAGAAGAACGATGAAAAGAGTTTTCAAGGGTACTGATATTAATTTTTGGAATCAAAATTGCCTTCCTCAATTTGGTCCTCTGTATAACCACTTTACTGGCTTGGGTCCCATAGACTTCAGGGGCGGATTTTATTTCTTCGTCTGGTGATTGGAACCATTATCTGCTCCAAGCTTTTAACTCAAAATATATGATGCTATAAAAAAAATCCCCATAACCTATCCGAAGGGTGTCATGATAATATAATTTGGATCCGATCAAGTGAGTGCCTATTTTCCATCAACTCTGTAGTGGAGATTAATCAGATTATTACTGAAGCTAGCCAGATGCCTTCAACACCTCTCTTAAAAAATATGTGCTATAGTTGTAATGGACCCCAGACTTTAAACTTTCTATGACTTCTTGCTCACACTGCCTTATTGACCAATACTCGATTGTGCAGCATTTGTTGTATGCATGAAGAGACAAATTTACATGCAATCCGTGATTGTCACTACGCCCATCAAGTTTGGTGTTGCTTCATTCCATATCAACAAAGGCAAAAAAATTCTCCTTAAATTTACCAGATTGGATGTTGAAAAATCCCGTTAATTCCACCCTCTGCGAATAGGCACGAGTGGAGTATTGCATTCTGTGCAGTGACTGCAAACATTTGAAAATTTAAACTTTATTTGAGAGTTAATTTTGAGAAGAATAGAAGAAAAAGAAAACTTATTTAATCACAACCTTTATTTTGTAAGTTTAGAGGAGAGAGAATAGTTTTATAAAACTTTTAAAACTCTCCTAACCTCATTTTTAAGTTCTAATTTAGAAAAGGGGGTTTACTAACCCTCCTTTTTCTTTTCTTCTCCACTCTATTCTTGTCCTTCAAACTATTTTCTTCTGTCTCCTAAACTTTCAAATAAAGCCTTAGACATTCAGATATTTTTTAACAAACTTCCCTTGTGGTAAAGGATATTTTACAAGCATTAAAAAGTAGTGGAAATTCTTCAAGTATATTCCGTGCCTTTCTCTAAATTTTTTCCTAATCTTAGTGATAATACCTCCTTTATTTCCTGAAGTCCTCATCAAGGCTGGATTAAAATAAACCCTAATGGAATTTTCAAATCTGTCAGAAGCTTGGTAACTCGTTGTAGTGGGACTCAGACCCCCCCCCCCCCCCCCCGGGGGGGTCCTCTTCATCCACCAAAAAACATTTTCCATTTTCAGTAAAACAGAAAGCTTAAATCCTCAATTTGTGGAGATCAGGCTTTAAAAAAAAAAAAAAACCAAATAGAATATGTTTCAGTAATTTAGTATTTCAGCAACAATGGAAAAAAAAATCACTATCCACCCATTACATAGCCGATCTCCTAAAAGATACGAGGACAACATTCGGCAGATGACTTCCATTATTCCACTAATTTGGATTTGGGGGAGGCCCGGGGATTAAGAAGTTGGAGAAGTTATTTTTCATTTATAAATTATGTACTATTATCAAGATAAAAGATTATTCGAAGGGTTCATGATAATATACCATTTTAATTCTGTTTACTTAGAAATTATTTACACGAGATGAAAATTTCAACCCGGTTTCCCTTAAATCCAATCATCCATCCCAAAACTACTATAAGACATGACACTCGGATCTTGGGTCAGAACTAAAATTAATCTTATCTCAGGACAGGATCAGTTTTAGGGGAGATATTGTTTACATTAAAGTAACAAGCATATTCAATCAAAACGTAATAACTCAAATTTAATATCACCATTAGATCGATTTGATAATACTTCACAATAAAATTCGGACCAGAGTTTATTACTCTTGAGCATATAAGAATTTCTGGTTTCCCGGGGTCAGCAGTGTCGTGGATCAGTTTGTGCTCCAACAAATTGTTCATTACAGCGTCTCCACTTACGATGATAGGGCCGAATCAATCTAAAATAGATGCAGGTGAAAATAGTATCTACATCGTAGAGGAAAACTAAGCCAATGGCAGTCAGTCCTTTTTATTTTCAATATGGAATTCACATTAAAACTTTCTTTTTTCCAAGAAAAGATGCAGAAAAAACTGCTGCACTTTGAAACTCCTGAAGACAATACATTAGCAACAATACAAATCAACAAATCACTCTTGATCAGATTTGGGCGGGCCCTTCCATTTAAAGTTGTCCGCATAAGATTTAACCTACAACCACCCGTAAGAAGTAAAATTTAGAATTATTGCAAGGTTGTGAAAAAAACTAATGCCACTGTTACTCAAATTTCAAATTACTAAAATTATAGTACAAATAGTGTAAGATGTTCAAACCTTAAGCAACGGTGTGTGGCGCTTTTTGACCTGCAAAAAGTTCAGATCTTCTCTTAATAACAACAAAATAAAGCCCTAAAGGTCTAAACATGGGAAAAGTCAATGCACAATCAAGTGGATATTTCTGTTTAGTGGTCTGATTCTTGAAACAGGATTAAATGACAAACAAACATATTCCAATGCTAAACATGTCAGTCATTTGAGAAACAATATGCTGATTCTCCCAAGTTAGATAGTTCACTGCAACATCGAAAACTGTGTTCTATAGAATGCAATTTTAATTAATATCGTGATTGAACCATGAGAACAACAGATGAATCAATCCACCTAATATGTTAGAGACCAAATGTGATTAGAAAGTGGAGATGGGGACAGGAACCAAGTCTGTTCAGTATACAGTTGAGTCACACAGGTACTTATGAAGAAAAGGGAGGGGGGCTAATTATGGGAGTTATGGGTTAGGCATTTGTTATCCTGCACTACTGTTGTATCTTCATTTCCTCATCTTTGATGTATATTTTGATCCAGTTCAATTAACTGGTATCAGCTCTCCTGATCTAGGGAGTGGACATAAAGTGTACTATGATGGAGGTCTGGATAAAATGCATGAAAGAGGATCTGGCCCAAGGAGGAAGGGACTGAAAGGTTCAAGAAACTTAATTAAAGAAGCTTGAAGAAATGCTGGGTCCAACGAGCAGGACCACTGCTGATCTGAGGGAGTTTTCAGGAGCACTAAGAGATAGCTCAAGGGTTAGGTGATGACCTGAGGACTGGTTCACAATGAAGTGAGAGATGATTGAGAGGATGCTTGAAAACCCCATTTTAAGGAGATACTTATGGTGGGGTGGGCCAATTGAGTTGAGCATTGATGGGAAAAAATTGCAAGCAGTGACAGTAAGTGATGGAGGGTCATGTTCACTTTCTAGGTTCCAATGGTGGGAATCATGTTCGCAGGAACTCTCCTGGACAGAGTTACAAATGCTAGTGATTGAGACATTCCAACCATTGATGATGCACAAGCCATGTGAGTTGTTGGGTTCAAAACAAATGTTAACAGTTGAAGATTACAGAGAATAGTTTGAGCTCTATACAGGTTAAAGGAAGAAATTAGGGACAAAATGAAGTAGCACCCAATGGATTATACCCAGTGAAACACTGAGTAGAACTGAATACTAAACAAAGAGGAAATTTCAGTAAATGAAGGAGGGGCCAAATTCAGAAGTTACCCATCGTCCAAAACACCAGCATATGAAGTTGGTTCTATATTATCCGTGCAGACTAACCCACAACTCACAAGGAGGAGGCTCAGTGATAGATTCCATGACCAGCAGACTCAATTGTACTACGAATTTGAAAAGCCAGGAGGTAGGGAGCATTAAAGAGACTTTCTGAACTCATACAAAATTGCAAATGAAGATCTTTTAGGCATGATAAGAAATATAGCCTGGATCATCTGTGCCAAACAAGCAATTTGCAGCAATTTTACCAGAGGAAGATTTAGGAGGGAGATGGCATGCCTGCTGGGATAGGAAAGGCTGTTGGATTTCACCTTGAGGACATCACCTTAGAACAAAGTGAAACATCGTTATAGGCCATGTATGATTTAGAAAGGGGGCATAGGGATAGGGCCATGCTCACAAGTCTGTTTAGAAACAGTTGAGGGTCATATGGATAACTAGGAATAAAGGGGAGGAGATGTGGAGTTTACAAGGGGAGTAATTGATTGATTGAGAAGAAGTTAGGGGAGAGTCCAAGACTCTTAGAATATAAAGGTTAGGGACCTATTCTTCTGCACTAACCTTTTATCTTCATTTTCTCATCTCTGATCTTGTATTCCAATGATACTACCGATGGATAAAGGTTTCTGTCAACAAACATTCTGTTTTCTTTCTATATTCAGATACAGCTCTATTATTATAAATTTATTTCAATAAGAACAGGTATAAACAAGGGACAGTTGAAGACACAAGATAATCCGTGAAGAGCAAGACATACTACATATTCCCAACCATGCTTCTCTGCAAACGCTTTTGCGGCTTCTTCACTATCAAAACTCAAGGCAGAATCACCAACATGAGAATATGGGTCCCCAGTGGATGTCCAGCCCATCAGAGGATTTTCCCACCTATAAACACATTAGTTGAGCCACTATTAATGACTATATATATTAATAACAAGTTTAAGTTTAGGATATTATACTGAAATTGCTATAAACCCTAAACTATTCAGGGATACCCAGTATCATAAGGGTAGTAGGTTTGAAATTAAAACCAATGAAAACTGCAATAATACAGGAAATGTCAACCATAGCAGAAGTTTCACTTTCATGAACAAGTCATAAATTTGTCAGTATATTCAGACAACAAATATCCACTGCAGAAGCAGAATCCCAAGCATCCCACCTACCAGTTATCAAACTAGTTACCAAAGAAAAATAAGGAACCCAAATTGTATAACCCAGGCAATGATATTTTAAAAAGCAGTGAAAGCGCTGTGAGCAAAGAGAGAATCTACTTTTGGGTCGATAAGAAGTTGATCTTCCATCTTCCAACCTTCCCAGACCCTTGTTGAGTCGCAGTTCTAGCAGGAGAGTAAATTACAACCTGCATTGCATTGTAAGTACAGAGACAAAATGGCTAATTGAGTTTCAATGGTTAGCGATAAAATGGCAGGGGATCTAGTGATACATCAATTATTTGTAAGTTTTCAAGTCAGTAAATTGAATATGGGAGAGCCTATCAGGTGAATGCGCGAAAGGTGAAAGAAGCTAATCTTGACCACTGAATCCTCATAACATTGAATGGTCGAGATTAGCTTCCATCACCTCTCGCGCTCTCAGTTGATACGCCCAATTGAATATTGATATCCTCCACTATACATGAACATTGTCGCAATTGAATCTACCAAAGGCATAACCATTATGCTATGATTGATCAATTAGAATCATAAATACGATATGATACGCACCACTACACTACAAAGAAGAAACACTTGCACCATAGTTAAACTAAGATGACAAAATTGGTGAATATGTCATACAAATGAACGAATGCTAGGGGTTTTCTAAACTGATGAGTATGCATTGACGATGATTCGGAGCATGTGAAAGAAAGCGAAGCAATGAATTTAAATAAATGAAAAGAGAATTAAATACCCTCCTACGAAGGTGTTCTTGAGGAATTCCAGCAACCATTCCGATCTCGCCCGGTTTGATTTCAACCAATGCATCGGTGGAGAAGCGGCGGAGCAAGGTGGCGCGTAGAGCGCGTTGCAGTGTGTTCGCCATCGTCGATTGGAATTTTGATTGTGCGGCACTAAGAGAACCAAGTGAAAATGGAATCGCGAAACCTCTCGTCTTTCGTTTATTGTTTAAATTTGTCACCTCGACCCTTCTACTTTTTTATATTAGAAAATTTCCCTTTTATATTTATGGCTTCATATATGTTAAAATACCCTCACGTGATGTAAGTCAAATTATCTGTTAAGTAAATTTCACTCTTCATTTTCATCTAAATAATAGAGAATGTTAGTAGTAGTGAACACTTAATTTCATCGTTACAAAAATTCAACCTAATTATTTTTTTAAAAAAGTATTAAATAATTATAAAATTTTATAAAATTAAACACATTAATAATTTACTTATTTTTATTTTATTTTATAATAAATACTTAATTTCTAAAAAGTTATCACTGCGCAACAGTTTAGTTTATAAAGTCAATATTATTCATGAAATTGGTTCTTAAAAATATTAATTAAAACGGCAAAGGACCAAAATATCCCACACTTGTAATCGAAAGAAACTATTTTATAATTAAAAAAACTAAGCTGCTTGATTAATTTTTTAGAGATCAATTTAAGTGTTTACTCTAAATGCTAAATTTGATACATACTCTAATAATAATTTAGTAAAAGAATTAAGAAATAAAAAAAGATATTGTTAGATAACAAAATTAAAATTAAAAAACTAATCTTATTAAATTATATTAAGAATATTATGAATATATTTGGCAAAATTAATGAGTAAGTTAGCTGAATGATAAAAGGTTGATTGAAAATTAATGAAATGACTAATTGAATTAAAAGTATATGATAAAATTAATTAATTAGTATAAAATAATATAAAATAATATTTTATTACTTAACCATAATTTAAATATTTTGAACTTTATTTATTTTTAAATAATTATTATTTATGCTTAATATTCTTAATTGTTAATGAGCACAATCAATGACATATTAACATATTATGTTGTATTTAATGTATTGTACTGTGATTTCTGTTACAGTTAATCAACGAATTTTAGCATAGAAACTAAAATAAATAACAAAGCACGTATTTATGTCATAATTATATGTAATAAAAATGATTTATTGACTAAGTTTAATGTTTTTTTTTTGTTAAGAATCAAATTGAGTTGCTATAGCATGTAGGTAATTATGAACAATGAATATTGTAGTACTTTTTTTTAAGGCTAAATTATACTTTTTATTTTATAAGTTTAAGTGAAGTTTCAATTTGATGTTTTCATCTTATTTTTATTTTATTTAATTTAAGTTTTATTTTGTTTTCTTAACTTTCTTAATTTAATTTAGTTTTTTTTTTCTATTTTCTTAACTTTACTTATTTTTCAATTTCATTGATTCAAGTGTTGTTTTAGTGTATTGTATAAATATGTGTTTATAAGAAATATTATAAATGCATACTATTTAATTAATAATGATGAGTTGATAGTGATCGTTAAGTATTTACAATAAAAAGAGTAAAAATTAGTAATTTTATCAAAATTAATTTGCAGGTAAATAAGTTTTAGTGGTATTTTAAAAGTTTTGAACAATAATTTAAAAAATTTATAAACATTAAAATAAACAATAATTATTGTCCAAAAACATTATTATTTTTAAAATTTTTCATTACGTTAAAACATGAAACAGATTGAAAGAATTATTTTATCTTAAAAAATAACACACAGAATTAATTTGTACGTAAAAAATATAAAGAATTAAAATAAAATTTAAAACTAAACTTGGATGAATAAATTAAATAAAAATTAATTTAAAATATATATTTAAAAAATTAACTTAAATTTAGAAAACGATAAGTGTAATTTTAATTATTTTTAAAAATATACCTTAATTATATTGTTTTTAACTGTTAACAGAGGTTTCTTTTGCAGTATCAGTGTTGCCTATCACTCTTTTTCTTTTTCTTCTTTTACGTGCAAGTTTAGGTTATTCGATATCTTATTCATGTCTTCTCTAGTTTGAGTTTTAGCCTCTATTAATTAATTAAAAAATGTAGCGTATTAATTATTTTTAATATACTGTATTTCAGTATTTAGAGTTCATGATAAACAACTTAAAATAATTCATTTATATTAAAAAAATTATCACTTTGAAAATAGAAAATATAATAATTTTTTAAATAAAAATTTATCATCTTGAGAGATTTGAATTCAGTTGTAAAGATTAAAGAATGAAAGCTTGTTTGATTTGGTTTTATTTTTTAATTTTTAAAAATTATATTTTAAAATCATTTTATAAAACTATTTAAAATAAAATAAAATTTGTTTATAAATTTAGGACTATGAGAATGTTGACGGTGTTGTGAAGACGTCGACTAAGGTGAGGGTGTCACATGATGATGGGCCTGTACTATACTGTAGTGTATAAGCATGTTAAAACTGTTTTTAATTAAACTTTTGTTAGTTTTAAAGAGAGAAATAGATAAATAAAAATAATTAAAAGTATATTTGTTTGTATTTTTAAAAGATTTTTTTTATAAAAAAAAACCTTACCTTAACAAATATATTTTTCTATTTTTTATTTTAAAAACAAAAAATTAATTTTAAAAAAATAAACTCAAAAAATTGTACTCTTTTTTTTTTGGAATTAGTTTAATATTATCTTTCTTTAAAAAAAAATACTGCTCAATTTGGCCGTTATTAATGACTTAATTATTTTGTAAAAATAAGTCAAATTAGGTTCCAAGCAATATTGGCCTTTTTATGTCAGATGCTACTAATCATAATAATAAAAGACCCTTTTTGTTTGTCTCAAATCAATTGCATTCGTTGCAGAAATAATTTTGAAAAGAATAAAATAACAGTGTCCGACAACGAAAGCTAATTATTTTGTCACTCTTAGAATTTTGAAAGAGAAACAAACAAGTTTTAAATAAGTGAAACATATTCAATATTTCTGAATGTTCACGAAGGTTTTAAATAAGCAAAAACAAATATGGTGGGTTTCGCGAAGGTTCACCAAATATTTTTTAAAAAATTAATACAAATTATTTATGAATTTCATTAATCTATGTTTGTGAATGTGACGTCTAAAAGTTGTTTAGTGTAAAAATGAATTTTAAATGCTATGGTACGTCAAAGAGTGGAGTGGAATGGGTAGGTAGTTTTAACGTAATTTTTTTTTCTAATTAAAGTATTTTAAAATTAATTACCAATTTTAAATTATTATAAAAAATATTCTTTATATAAAATAATTTTTATAAATGAAACACATATTGTTACATATAATATTTAATTTTTTAAAATAATATCATAACTAATACATTATACACAACCAACAAATATGGGTGTTAAAGAGATAAAATAATATTCTCTAAACATGACACGTGTTATTTAAAGATATATAAATATTTTAATTTTTATAATTATATATATTATTTATTTATTTAATAATAAATATTTATTTTCAAAATTAATTTATTAAATAACATTTAAGTAATAATAATTTGACAACTAATTTATAATTATATTTAATATATATCATTTCAATTAAATAATTTGATAATTAATTTATTTTTCAAAATTTATAATTTTAATTTACTAATCATTATTTTCAAAATAATTTTTAAGATAATCTATTAAATAAATTTTAATGATAATTCATTGATAATTATATTTAATATTTGTTATTTAAATAAATCATTAATTAATTTTAAAATTTTGCAATTTTTATTTATTAATAATTAATTTTTTAAATTTTTAAGTGACATGTGTCAAGCTTAAAAATATTGTTCTTACCATATTAGTTTAAGTGTACTGCTGTCTTTACTTTTTTATTAAAAAATTGTCTTAAATATATTATATATTAAAAATAACTTTAAAATAAGGAAAAAAGTTTAAAAAAAATTGAATACATGTAGTAGAAAGATTTATTTACTTTAATAAATATTTTAGTATAAAATTAATTATTAAATTATATAATATGATATTAACAATTATATATACTAAAATTTTTAAAAATTTAATATTTATAAACATGCAATTTTATGGTTAATTTTATTTATATTTTAAAAAGATAGTATATATTAAAATGAGGTTAATTAATATTTTTTAAAGACTTCATTTATTTAATAACAATTTTTAATTTAATAATTAAGTTGACGAAATTTGATATGGATTTGACATTATTAATTGAACTAGTTTGATGTAGGGATTACAACTTTAAACTGAGATAATTTTTAAAATTAATAAAAATAATTTGTCAAGGTTAATATAATTTAATTTGAATCTTCGGAGCAATATTTAATTTGAAACGTACTTTTCTAACTTTTTGAGTAAAGTTATTATTGTTATTTTTATATTTTTTCACTTTTCAAATAAGGTTTTATTTGAATAATTCATTGTTAATTTAATTAACAAAGAAAAGAATAAATATTCAAATAAGAATGTCAATAAATATTTTGAAGAAGAAATAAATATATTTTTAGATATAATTGATGATATTTAATTTTGTTTAATATTTTTTTCCTAATGTTATATAATAACTCAATTATTAAATTAATTATATTTATTGAATTTTATACAATTTAAAAATCATTTAATAGTTTATTAACTAATTTTAACTTAGGACATGTTTGGTTATAATTGTATTTTGGGAAGTAATCTCTTATTTTTCATAATTTTAATAAATACTTATTTTTTAATTGAACCAAATTAAATACTCACTTGGTTTATAATATATATTTTTTAAATAAATATTAACTATAAAACTAATTTATTTAAAATTTTATATGCATATTTTCAATGTCGATTACCCTTTCCATGTACTGAGGGATAAATTAGAAAATGTAGAATACTTTCACCACTCAATCACATTAATAAAAAAATATGAGTTTTCAATTAATAATTTTTAATTAACTTATAAAATAAATATAAATAAAATATATTTATTATCTTAAAAATATAAAAATATTGAATACTATATTTGTTATATTTTTATATATCTTCTTAAATAATTTTTTATTATTTTATAAGATAAATACTGAATAAAAGTATATATTTTTTTAAAAAATAAAAATATTTAATAATTCATTTATTTAATAATTAAAAAATTTATGGATAAAGATAAAATTATAATTATTTAAACAAAAATAAAGTCGCTTTTCTTTTTTTACCTCGATCGAATAGAGCTCATATCATATGTCTCGTTCTTCACTGGTTTTTTGACAAAATCATTCAGATTAATTCAATTTCTCTGTCTGTAAATACTTTAACTTTTCCCAATTCTCACCGTCGCTCAGTGATTAGGTATGCTTCTCTTCACTGATTCTTGTTTGTTTTTTGTCCCTTTTTTTTCTCTCAGTGAAAGTTGTAATTTTCGACATTCATTAGAAGTATAATCTGCCATTTCTCTCCTCACTTCAATGCATGTGGTTCTAGTTTTTGTTGCGCTCCTTGTTTGTTGTGATTTTTTGTACTCAAATGTTGCTATTGTGAGCTGAAAAAAAATGTTCCTTTTCGTTGTCATTTTCAACATGAATTTCATTGATCGATACAATGAAATTTGAGCATGAGAAAATAATTAAAACCCTCGGGTTTTGCAATTTGACGTGCTGCTTAATCCTAGTTCATTCTGGGCTGTGTTCAAATTTTTAATTTGCTTTCATGAGGCGTAACTGCACAGACATTTCAACTGTACATTGCGAAAGTGTTGTACAATGATTCTTTCAATTCTATAACTTATGACTAGAGTTTGTGGAGTAGTGCTCTTGTTTAAAGTTGGGATTTATTTGGACAAGTTTTGTTTATTTGATTAATTTATTGGTTTTTTATAAACGTTGAGGAATCATTTGTTGACCAATGAAATATATTTATTTTGTTGTTGTTGTTATTGTTTTTTGGTCAACAGTAGTTAGAATTTTTCTCGTTTAAAGATGCACGAGTAGAAGACGGAAGTACTGAAATTCCAAGCTTTCCTCTTAAGTAGAAGCAAAGAGTAGACTGTCATAAAAAACTTCCAGCTTTCCTTCAATGGGTGCTCCTAAGCAGAAATGGACTGCAGAAGAAGAAGCGGCGCTGAAAGCTGGAGTAGTCAAACATGGGGCTGGAAAATGGCGCACTATACTTACAGATCCCGAGTTTAGTGCCATTTTGCGCATGCGTTCAAATGTAGATCTTAAGGTATGCCTTTTCACCATCCTAGCAGTAGCAGGTTGTGGGAAGTGTTGCTGAAAGGAAGTTTTGTTATTCTTTCTGGTTAGGAATGTTACAATTGCACTAGCCAAATGATCATCTGCATATTGCACCATACAAGAAATATATAAGGATAGAGTCCTTTCTTTCAATCAAATTTCCAAAGTTATGGCATACTTTTGGTGCACTAGTATGTTGCTTTGTACTGTGAACAGGATAAATGGAGGAATATAAATGTGACGGCAATATGGGGATCCCGGCAGAAGGCAAAGCTTGCTCTTAAAAGGAGCCTACCAGCCCCCAAAAATGACAACAACCATACAGCCTTGAGTGCTGCAGTTCAACATGATGAAATTCTCGATACTAAGCCCTTAGCAGTTTCTTTTGGAACATTGCAATCTTCTAACTCGAAAGAACAAATATCAAGGTTACAGAATTTCAGTTAAATATATCTTCCGATTATTATCTTGAGAAAAGAAATTATCTTCATGACTGTGGTGCTTGGTTTGTTTAATTTGTCCTTGAATGGCATATGGAGTTTGAAAACTTGTCAATGTTACACCCTTTACAACTTACAAGTAATTAGTTGAAAGATCACATAAAGCTCTCTGCTATCAACCCACTTTTTTTCAAAATGAGTAAATTACTAGGCTAATTTGCACTCAAATTTTGTTATTTCCCACATTAGGTATCAGATGGTTTTATTACCTATCTGGAGTAAAGAAAGAAAAAAGGAATGAAAAATATAGACAATGTTAACTATGCAATGGGTCACTTCCTTTGGATGAAGTAATATGACTCATACTTCCGCATTTTTGGGAACACACACACATTATTAGATACTTGTATGTATACTTGCAATCATTTATGCTTATGATAGGAAAGTAGTGTTGTTTTTGTACTTTGTCTCCATTGCTAAAGTACTTCGTGCTTAGGTACACTTATCTTAAAGTTGTCATCCTCCAGTGTGCATTAATTCTAAATTCAGAAGTCATTGATTTATACATAGGTTTTACTTGCTATTGCAAATATTTAGTAAACAATTCTCTTGTTCAATGTCTCTTCTGATATCAGAATCCCATCTTGTGCTAAATGTTGAAATTATTCTGCAATATACTTTTGACTTATGGCAGCAATAACGATGGCAGGTTGGGGGATAATGATATATTAGAGGCCATTGTCAATTTGAAGGTGCCAAAAGGTTCTGACAAGGCCGCCATTGCTTCTTACATTGAGGTATTTCTATTTCACTTCCCTTATGCTTGTAAAATCTGAAATTTACAAGAAGCAAATGATCATCAAAATTGAAGATTAGCTCTATTCTTTCTTTTTGCTTCCCCCCCACCCTCCCCATCGAATTGGTTTGCATGTAGACTTAGTAAATGAAATTTATTTACCCCTATGTAATGAATAATTTCTGCTTCATATTGCTTGATGGATTACCTATCTGTTTTAAACTAGAAGAAACTATGTGCCAGCCTTCTTTGTGATTGATCTCAGAGCATTAGTAATCTTTGAAACTGATTGGAAACATTTCTCTACTTGGTCTTGTCACAAGGAAGTGGCATTTTTTCTTTTTATTTATTTGATTTTTATTGAAGCCAGTGTGTGTGCTTCAACCTTTCTCTCTCTTAGATGGTTCCCGAAAAACAAGATAGAATAATTTATTTCATCCAATCATACTATGATACATGCTGTATATCTTGTTTTTGGTTTAGCCTTAAAATAATGGCGAATGATCAATACAATACAACTAATACTAGCAATATAATACTTGTTTAGATACGTGTCTGCTTAACTGCATCAAAAGTAATTCTAACACTTTTCATCTATTTAGGAAAAATATCGGTCTCTGCCAAGTCTCACAAAGCTACTGTCAACCAAACTGAAGCATATGGTGGCAAGTGGCAAAATAATCAAGGTAGTTTTACTATCAGTTATTGTGGTAGCAAGGCACATTAAACTCTGCCTGCAAACCTGTGTAATAGACATAATCAATCTGGTTTCAAGGTCATATTGATGTTTTTTCATGTATGACAGCTATAAATATTTGATGTTAATGAAAGTTATTTAGAGAAAATGATTTATAGAGAGAAATTAATTGGTTATACCATTCTAGATGTAATTGATATATATTTTCTTCTGGAGTTGTAATGTGCATATATTCACATTTGCTTCAGTGAGAGTGAGAATTCAATTTGAAATTGATAAATTGCCCCATATTAACCAGATATCCCCTCCGTGACATATTCATTTGGCATATGATTAAATTCAATAAATGATAAGTTGATTCTTTGTATATGTATTGGTAGGAAAAGCATAAGTACAGGATTGCATTGAGTTCAGCAGTATCTGAGAAAAGGAAATGCTCTTCCTTGATACTTGTGGAAGGGAGGCCCAAAGATTCTCCAGAAGCAGGTAAGCATGATGATGTCAAAATCCTTTCAAAATCCCAAATTGATGCGGAGATATCAAAAGTGAAGGGCATGACAGCTCAAGAGGCAGCTGCTGCAGCTGCAAAAGCAGTTGCTGAGGCAGAAGTTGCCATTGCACAGGCTGAGGCAGCAGCACGGGAAGCAGAGGCTGCAGAAGCTGAAGCTGACGCGGCTCAAGTGTTTGCAAAAGCTGCAATGAAGGCGCTAAAATGCAAAATGCTTTGAATGTGGTAGTTTCCTCATCAAGAAATCTATATTGATTCCTGTAGATGAGATGATCATAACTTTATCTAATTCTATTTTCCTGTTTAGAATGCTTATCACATCCTAAGTATTTAATAGTATGCTGGTTCTTTGCACTCTTCATTCAATCTCTCCTTGAGAATTGTTGCATCCTTATGTATTTTGCTTTTTCTTCTTGGTTAATGAGACTCTGACCTTGTATGGGGTCAAATATTTTTCAAGTGGGTGATTTCTGCAAAACATCACATAGCCCAACTTTTCACCAAATTGATCACTGATTTTCTGTGTCTACTCTGCAGGTCTATCCCATACTTTTCTAATGCACCGCATTCAGTTGCTGTAGACTCCAGAATACTGGAGTCAAGATATCTGTTAATATTCTTTTCACACTTTTGAGTTAGTTTGTTTTACCACTCAAGATTAATTCTCACTTTTTGCACTTGAGACTTGAGACTTGAGACACCTCTTTTTATTTAAAAAGCAATTCATTAGACAAAGGGAAGATGATTATGAAGAGTTAGGAAAGATAAGGGATCATTCATATAAATAAATGTAAAAAAGAGAAACCCCTTTTAAAATATCAGAGGCTTTGCTCCAAGCAGAAGCCAAATGCCTAATCTTATCCCAAAGGCGCTGCTTATCCAAAAAAATCTTCTTAAGAAGTGAGAATCATGCTTAGGCCAAATACACCGAAGTGCAACATAGATTGCACATTTCTACAAGAGTTTGGCTCCTCCTATCACTCTGAAGATCCCAAATAAAAGATTTTCATAAAGAAACAGCTATAGCACTAAGTAAGAACAAAATCTGGTACTGATTATGAGCTTGCACCACACATTAGGAGAAATTGCCCTATGCACATATCACTGCTTTTCAAATAAAGGATCTAACCTTAGAGGGAGTTTGGACCTTTCAAATGGGTTTGTCCAGGACCAGGTGGAATGGAACTCTACTCATTGAATGGATTAGGAATTGAGAGTAAGAGTCTCACAAAAACATCCCAGAAGGTTTGTGGAGTAACTTTCTCTATTACATTTTCCAATCTAGAGTCCATTTCTTGTGAAAGGACCCTAGGTCTGTTAGTTACTGTAGGTAAAAGGATATTTTCATGCTTTAAATATTGCTGTGCATTATTCTTTTGTCTGTAAAGTAGTTTATGTTAGTTCTTTTAAAGTTTTGATTATTGCCTCATTATTCTAATGCATATATAGAAGGAATTTCTGTGTGTGCCCACTTAACGCACAAATTTGGTTATTGAATTGGCTTGGAAATGAAACTTGGAATTGTAATTATGATATTTGGAAATCCTTTTAGAATTGGAATCACGATCCTAAGTTCCGATTCCACAGAATTCTAGCATAACAAAATATAACATTTGCCAATTACTAACCTATACCCTCTATGTTACTGTTCTTAACATCCCACACTATGCAACTACTCTCCTTATTTTGTTGCATTTGTTGTTGCCACTGCCACCTTCACTGCCATCCCTACAACCATTGCAGCCACTGCCACTCATGTCATCCAACCCCCCCCCCCCCCCTCCTCCTACTACTATCCCTTTCCCCATAGTCATTATTGCTGCCACCAATTACTGTTGCCAGTGTCATTGCTGCTAATTTTTCTACCACTGCTACCATCATCATCAATTGTTGTTGTTGTTACCCCTTCACCAGTCCTTTCACCTCCCTGCTGGCACCAACATTGTGAATGCTATATGAGTTTTAACTTTATAACTAAACTCAATGTAATCTTATCCATGATTATCCCTAATTACCTAGGGGTGTCAAAATAAAATTAAAATTCAACTTAAAATTACAATTCTATGTTGTAATTCTTTGCATAACCCAAACATAGGAATTATAATTCTGAACAATTTCCATTGTGGCAAAATTGGAATTATATTTCTGAACTCCAATTTTTATTCCATGTGCATTGCGGACCCTTAGTACTTTCTAAGCTTTAATCACCGCTGCTTTATTCTATTGCTACATAGTTTCTCTTGTTCTTTAGTTAAGCCTGTTTAATTTTTGTGAATTTTTTGTAGAAGGTGTGGGCTTATGCTTGTTCATCATCAGCAGCAGAGTTGGCTTGAGGTGATAGTTCTACTGCTGCGCTGTCTGCCTATTTTTGTGACTGTAGATAATTATCGGCTTGCAAATCTGGAACATGCGGATGATTCATGAAACATTTTGTCAAGAGTCAATAATAGGCCCCTTTTTTTCCCTTTTGAGGGAACACAATGAGGGGAAAGCTACGAAGCACTAACTGAAGAGTGGAAATGGCCATGGAGTGCTGTAATGGAATGATTTACATCCACTTTGAGTAAATGAAGGAAAACAATTTAGTAGTGTTCCAATAGCAATATGGATTGACATTGACATACCGATCATATATGTGAGGATGCATGTTCTAAGACATTGCTGCATTATTCTGGCTATGTAATATAGACCTCCTTTTGAGGTTTGCAAAATTATTTTTATGAAAATCGCAGATCTTGTCGTTTGATTTTTCGCCCCTAGGACAGACAGTGTACGTGTAAAGTTTATATAGAGGCATTTGTTCCAAACAAATTTAGAAAATGGTCAGTACTTCTGGATTAGGTTGCAGACAAATGCAAATTTGGAAAATGTTGGAAGCGAACAGTATGTTTGTTAAATAATTATCTTTCAGCACAATAGATAATCGCAGTCAATGTAGGGAAGAAAATTTGTGACTACTATGTCAATGTAAAATGCTACCTGGTTCTGCGTACTAGTATTATTTATTATAATAGAATGTATTATTTATTATAATAATATTTATTAATAAAGTTAGTCTAATATAATTCAATATCTTTATTATCACATATTTAAAATTTACTATATTTTCTTTCCTCTGGACAAACAAAAGATCTTTTAAGTTAAAGTTAATGCAATTTATTGTAAGCTTCAATTTCATGTAGATTTTTCATTTCAATTTATCGTAGGGCGAATGTCTTTGTAACTTAAATTATTTTCTGATTACCTTCAAACATAATATCTTATACTCCTTCAAATATTCTATTAAAATAAACAAAAATAATTGTACTGTCTTTAGTAAAACAATATATGAACTTCAAAATAAAGTTTAATAAATTAAAACACTGTTAGTAATATACAAAAATATTAATAATAATAAAAAAAAACTAAAAACAAAATTTAGCTTGCACTAACACACTAACAGTTGAAGGATGCACTTTTTAAATCCAGGGAAACAACCAACAATTTATATAGTATTGTTATGCAAAGAGAAAAGGCACAAAAGAACCTAGTTAAACAAATTATAAAAACACTAATAAAGTGTGACTTTTAAGAAAAAGAACTTCACAATTGACACTTAATCATGTAGCTTAAGAAGTAAAAATGTAACATATGTTACATTCTGACTCATGGTATCTTCTCATTTGACTTTACATGCTAGAATGACAGCGTCGCATTTTAATATATGACGCCTTTTATTCTCACATCACATAAAAAATTTTACTATTCAAATTATTTATATTGGTAATTAGTTTCAAAACATTAGTATATTATATTTTGATGTACGACGCCTTTTACTTTTACTTCACATAAAGTTTTCTGTTCAAATAATATACACTGTTACTTAGTTTTAAAACACTTTTAGTATGATAAATAGCTTCTAAAATAACACTATTCTAGTCAATTAGTTGGACAGTTTGCTAACATTTGCAGATATCTCTAGGTTGATCAAAACAAGCTAATTTACGATGAACATTGTTGTAACAGGATAACTTCCTCATCCCTGTTCGGCTAGCATATTTAAAACAACTTGCTATCACTAGCCATAACCAAGTTCAGCGTGTAACAAGCTCCCACCCTCCTTTCTCATTTCCTTCCATTCTTCTAATATTTCATATGCGGAGGGCTTGTCATCAACATCATCTTCAGAGTTGACAGGTGCCAGATTATCAGAACATTCCAGCTTATCAGCACATAAACCTGTTCCATCCTCAACATTAGAGTTTTGAGGCCTGCAAACCATGAGATCATTATTATCTTGTTCATCAACTTGATCATGATTATAGGTATGCTCAGTATGGTAACTGCCAACAAGAGTGTTTTCATGCTCAGATTCAGCATCTTCAACCATCATTCTCCCAGAAATATTTGGCACATTTCCCTTTCTACGATCATTAATTCCCTCAGTACTTTCACTTCCAAAAGGGATTATACTAGAGAGGTTTCTAGATGTACCTAATCCACAAAGAACATGCAATGATCTTGATAAATTAGAGACCGTTGGTTCTGATTCAACATCACAATTACCAAGAGCATCCAACAAGCGCTCTAACTTTTCATGACTAATTCTGTCTTCACTTTCCTTAAACAGGTGTGTCCACTGCTTTTCAGTCACTCGGAATGGCGCATAAGCCATGGTGTTGATTAAGATAATAGCTCGCTCATAACTATGTTGAGCTATAGCTTGAATCACCAATTCCATAAAGAATAGATGGTGGGGAATTTCTCCAGCTTCCAGAATCATGTCAAATGCATGCTCCAGTAAATGTAACTGCATTCAAAGCAAAATATGCCATCAAACTCAATGTTTAGCAAAGCACATAATAGTAATTTAACTGCTACAAGTTATTTTTGTGGTTCCATTGCTGACTGGTCAGTAGTAACAAGTTAAAAAGCAGTTGAATCTAATTGTTTCTGGAAATCATCCAACAAATGTTATTTTGATTTTAAAGGATGAAAGCAAGAACCAGAGCAAAGGTTTCCATCAAGAGCACAGACATAAGCCTAAATATATTTGAGTTTGAGCAGAACTATTCATATGAGCTTTATACATATACTTGAACACAGCACAAAATAATTGATAAAATTTGTGCTGATACTAATAAAAAAGGAGTACTTTTCACCATGATAGTGAGTTGATGGATGAATTGATGCACTCCTAGCCCTAGGTAGAAAAATTTAGATATAACACTAACTTTATAGGATATGGCACTATGAGCAGAAATATAAAGATAAAAAACAGAGACCTAATATAAATAAGTACATCTTCTACCTTGCCAGCTCTTGAAGCTTTAAGAAGTAATGACAAGTGTTTATTTTGATCCAACTGATAACCGGAGAGAATCATCTCTCTGTATACATGCTCAAAGTATTCCCATTGCTGTGCACTAGCTGAAGCTTCCAACATTGAGTTATATGTGTACAGGTCTGGGACAACAGAGCTATTACCACCCTCTGAGATGGCATTAAACTCTGAATTGGCTACCTTAACTTCCTCAAATAAATTTTTGGCTTTAGAAAACATATCATTCTGGCCATAAACTTTCAGCATTGTATTTATGGTCCCTATGTTAGGACCACAGTTCTCTTTCATGTATTCAAATATGCATATGGAATCATCAATATGTCCACCATCCATGGAAGATTTAATCATGCCAGTGAAGGTAACCTCCAAAGGCCTGGCATGAGAAAGACTTCTAATCTTCTCAACCTGCAGCCATATTTCAAGGAAAATAAGGGTTTATAAGTAGCTACATGTCCATCTAACCACATATATGCAAAAAGAAAAGTGTAAACCATCAAATTCATCCCTAGAAAATTAAAACCCCACCTATGGTCCCTAACGGTGCGTTTGAGAGTTAGAAGGGAAGGGATTAGAAGGGAAGGGAAGGGTAGGGAAATGATGGGTAAACCCTTACCCTTGGTTGGCTGTTACTAATTTTTCAGAAGAAAAAAATGAAGGACTAGTAAAATTAAAAAGATTAATAACAACACAAATTTTCAATTTCAAACCTTACTTAAAAAAAAAAAAAAAAAAAAAACTAACACAATTAACCTAATAAACTTCTTTTACTCGACCCCCACTTCAGGGAACTCAAAGTATGTAAGACTCCAAAACAAGGGAAGGCTAACCATAGGCCTTTCCCTACCTCTCTTTCTTTCCCTCCTAAACCCTTTATCCAAGCATACCCCCACTAACAACAAATGTTGGGGATTAATGTGTCTGGAACCTATGGAATACTGCAGCCAACATTCATGGTTTGTTAGGGACCACAGGGCAGGTTTTAAATTATCAGAAACAAAAATGTCTACCACCATATTCATCAAGGCCAGATTTGGGGGGTTTACTCAAAGCAAATAAAAATAATACCTCCGGAATAGCATCTTGCCACCTCCCATAGTTGCAAAGGCAACAAGCTAGCTCATAATATACACTAGCTGTTCCAATAACTCCCCTTCCTTCCATGTCCCTGACAGCTTCTACAGCTTCATCTATTTTACCTTCCTTCCACAAAGTTCTGACCAGCACTAAAGAAGTAAGATAAAATATGTAAGGCCATCGGCTGCCAAAAATCAGTCAGAAATAATAATAAGTAAAATGTTACCTTTATAAGTAAGGGCTTTTGGAACTTCCCCACTTCTTGTCATCTTTCCAAATAACTCATGGACAAGGTCATAATTGCCTGATTCCAGCATTACCTTACAACAAGCACCACCTGTAAGACTTGAATACAAACATGCTTTAAGGGTAATAACATCTGAAGGTAATCACATTTTCTTCATCAAACAATTTTTCCATTCAACCATAAAGACTCAAGTAAAATATAACTAAAAAGAAGCTTGTTAATTCGTGAATAAAATGGAAATCAGAGCCACCATTCAAGAGTGAATACATAATTCATATATGGAGGGAGGATAACATTAATGACATTGGCACAGTTTGGATAAACTTCTCAATAAGTCCTTATAGATGTCAAAACTTAAGTAGTGAAATAAATCAAATTTGTCTCATAAATTAATATCATCTTTTGTTTCTCTATCTTTTAGAAGAAATTTTCTCATTTAACTTCTCTAAAACTTGAGGGGTATAAGTTGCTTTTAACTTATATTATATGTAGAAGTTTTATTCATTTTTCATATTAATTTTCTTCTCCAATAAGTACTTATGTAAAAGCCTATCCAAACTGGGTCATTGTAACAAACTATTCCCATAATAAAGCAGTGAAATAGATCTAGTGAGATCAGTTCTCCCAAGAACTTCTGATATTTTTTTATTAAAAAAAATAAATAAATAAACTGAGTTAAGTTGTACTGTAAGCATATTGAGCAAAGTGACACAACAGGCAAAAGAAGGCAGCTCAATAACTACTTATTTAGAATAGCAATATAAAATTTTATTCTGCTTGTAAAAAATAGTTAAAGGAGTCGATTATATTGTATCTCCCTGTTTCAATATTACAGTCCATACACACTTGATAGATTACTTGGTCTCAGATCTGTAATTCTGTAATTACCTCCATTGCAAGTCCATAAGTTGCTCCATTAGGTTGTAGACCATTTTTCCTCAGTTGCTTAAAAACCCATGACACTCCTTTCCACTGCTTTGATGGAACACAAGCATTAAGCACCTAATAGCAATTGAAGAAACTTGATGGTTCAATCATCGGCAAAATGATATTCCTTATAAAGTTCTATGATAAATATCTAGTTGTTTTCTTACAGCATTGTATATAACCACATCAGGTTCAAGAATTGGATCCCAGTTCTTGCCATACATAAATTTGAATGTTTTGGGTTTCTGCCTCATGCATTCCATAACATTCAGTAACTCTTTCAGAAGACCAGCTTGACCAAGTGTGACAGCAATGCTGTGATATGCAGCTATATCAGGATACACAAGAATGTTTCCCTGAATAAGTTGAAAATAAGCAATCAAGAAACATCACAACAGTTAAAGACAAGCCCTTGTGTGGAAAGCTAACTGAGCACTAGGTTCTTACACGCATCAAATTGAAAATTTGAAGGGCTTCCTTTGGCCTCCCTGCCTTCCCAAGAACTGCAAGAAGTTTTGTATAGACAAACCTACAAAATCACCATTTTTTTTTCATAAGAGAGGAGTGAGAATGCAAAACAATAAGCATGTAAAGAAAACAACAAAATACCGATCGTTAAGAAATCATAGTGTGATGAAGAGTGTGGCCAAAATAATGTATTACTAGCATTTATCTGAATACAATGGCAACAACAACCAAGCCTTATTTCGCTAGGTGAGGTTGGCTACATGGATCACAGGACCCATTGACTTCGGTCAAAAACCAAAATTTTAGAAACCAAGACAAATATCTAAAGTCACCTGCTTTGAAATTTCCTGTTATCCTTATAATTGTACACCCATTGGACCACAGAAAGAGCTTGCTTCCAACAGCATTTAGCACCAAGCAACTCAAGAATCTTCAACAACTGACCCTCAGTAAATGGCAATCCCGACAACTTCATCATCCTCGAAAACTTCCAATCCCTCATAGTAATCTCCCTATCACTCAGCCTACATTAAAATTAAGAAGAAAAAAAAGAGCCATAACTTCACAAAGATATTAAAACAAAACACTGTTAATACACTTTTTTTAATTCACTCCTCGACTGTGTCTAAGTAGTTAAAAAAAGTGACCAATTTACGAACCAAGAAGTTAAACATTGCAGAAGAAGTGTATTAAAAAGTATGTTTAAAAAGGATAATGTTATTACTTGTTAGCACTTCTGTTAAAACAAAATAACTAACGAGACCGCAATGGAAAATTGAACGCGATACGAACCTATCAACGAGAAACCTTATAGCCTCACTCTCGCTGCGATTACGAGTCTTGTTCCTTACCCCATAGCTCTGATTGAAACAAAGCTCGTCGATTTCTAGGTCATCATCGAAAAGCCACATGAGTTCATCCATCTTCCGAGCCTGAAAGAGTTCCTTCAGCTCCATTAGGCTCTCCCTCTTGAGCTTCTCTCCTCTGTACTCCTTGCACGCCCTCGCCTGCTCCAGAAACTCAACCTTTTCAACCCCTTCCCAGGGCTTCCCCGCCATCAATAAAGGCTTAGTCTCGTTGGCGTGGGTTTCGGCTTCAATTGCTTTCGTGAATTCCTTGAATTCGTGTTTCAGTGTCTGGAAGTGTTGCTCTTCCGACAAGGTTTGCAATTGGGCGTCGGTGAGTGGAGGAGGGGATTGTTTGGCTTCGCGCTTCAGTTTTCGATTGTGCTTTTGAATTTGCTTTTTGCGGAGAGTGTGGATGATTTTGGGTGTTGGATTGACGCCCTTTTGGATGAGGTTGCGTCGAATTTTGTCGGTGTCGGGTTGGAATTGTGCCACAGGGTATCTCTGCAGTTGCAGTTGCAGTTGCAGAGTTCCCATGGCGGAAATGGGAAGAGGGAATTTCGGTGTTGGGAGCTTCAGGTAGGTCGTCGTTACAACTTCCAAGATAAGTAACAATATCAAGACTAGCGGGTAGGCAAGATATTTTCTAATTAATAAAATATTTTTATATTTTCATAAATGTATAAATAAAAATAAATTAAAGTGAATAGTAAATACTTTTATTGTAATAATTCTTTAAAAAATTTAAAATTTAAAAATATAAAAATTAAGATACATCATTTTTTATATGAAATATTAAAATATTTTATTAACTTTTTTTCATATAACAAATATCTTCTAAAAAAATAATTATATTTAAATAGAGTAAATATTACTGTAGATAGTAAACTTATCTCGATAACATTTAATGATATTTGAATAGAATAAATATTATTGTAAATAATAAACTTATTTTGATAAATATTTAATATAAATATATTCATTCGAATTTAAATTTAATATTATAAATGAAAATTAAATTAAATGATTCAATTGATTCACATGTTCGATGATTTATTAATTTTAATATATAAAGTTGAATTTATACATTTAAAAACAATAAATATTTATTAAAAAATATATTTATTATATTAAAATTATAAAAATATAAATATTTTCTAATAAAAATTTGTTAATTAAATTTTTTATATTATAAATTAAAATTACACTAATATTAAATTTTAACTTATTTAAAAATAATGTATTTTTTAATTTAATACATTGTATTAATATTTTAAGTAGTACCCGTTCAAGAATTTTATTCAGTAAATATGATATATGTTTTAAACTAAATATAAATCTATCCTTGTAAAGGTTCTAAGTAGGATTGAACATTGGGTGGGCTCAGACAGGTTGAAGCTAAAAAATTAAAAATTGTTGCAATTCAATCATATAAAATTTTACACTAATTTTGTTTAAATGGACTGTTGAATTAATCAAGTTTTGGGTACTGGTGGATTGATACATGTTTGAACTGAATAGTTATTTAAGCCCAAAATCAATTTTTTAATTTTAAAAATATTTTTAAGAGCATGTGACAAAGACAATATATTGAGCCTTTTAAATTTTAAATGTAATGAAAATAAGTGGAAGACTTTAGATTTAAAACAACTTTTAAAGCAAACTTTAAAATTCATATATGCCTTGTTCACAATTTTTAAAATAAATACTAAATTTTAGAGAAAAAAATTATTTATCACCTAATATAACTTCAATTTATCAATATCCAGAAATTTCTAGAAAAAAATCCAAATACTAAATTTAAATTCCTATTTAAATAAATAATTACATGGTGCATATAATGTTTTCAATTCTATGGATGAATCAATTATTAATTTTTAATCAATGATTATAATTTTATTTTATCTTGTAAAATGTATCCTCCTCGTTGTTTTAAAATTTCAATACAAAGTATTAAAGTTTTTCCCTTTACATTATTTCATCAGCGATAAGCATACTTTTAATGGGCTTCAAGGTAAGATTTTTAATGACATTGATTTGAATTTTTATTTTTATTTTAACTGAGTTTCTTTTTATTAATGATGTTTTTATTCTATATCAAAATTAAATTATGTAATAATTTTCTTTTGGACTTCTGAATAGATTGTAAACAAGTTTGAGGTTTCCATTATTATAATATAAAATAATTAAATAGGTTAAATTTGTACGAAAAAATATTACCTATGAACATATTAAGCTTTACATTCCCTTAAAATTTCATAAAGATTTTACACAAGCACTAGGTAGCACATATTTTGAATGATGCAAGCTAGATTTTGTAGATAAAATTATTTACTTCAAAAAAATTATAGTAATGATATATAAAAATATAGGTAATTAAACTTTTACTTTAGTATCTAAAATATATAATATAATTAAAGTTAATCTTCTAAATTTTAAATTTTAATTTTAAAATTAATAATTATAAATTACTTTAGTTTTTGTTATTAAATGATGCTAAAATTGAGTAAAACTAAGTTGTCATGTCAAGTAATACCAAAAAGATATAAAATAATGTTGTTTTAAGATTTTTCAAAATTAGTTTATTTTTATCTTTTACTTTTAAGTATATTTAGATCAATGTTTCTTTATATTCTTTCATAGTTTCTTTTTCTTTGACCATCTCGACACTAGGAACTACTCCCTTTTATCATGTTATCATTTGGTCAAAATACGGTTAACTTTCCTTCTCCCTCATTTGGTTCAATAGAGTTGTTAAGAGAATGAACATCATTCTTACAGTAGTAGCTGAAGAAGATGCTATAGAATAAGATAAAGTAAGAGAAAAAAAAAAAAGGAATAAATATTACTATTTAAAAATATAAAAAAATTAAAAATAAATTATTTTTAAAAAATCTTAAAATAATATTTTGTTATGTCTTTTTACATGTCACTTAATATGACAAATTGTTATATTATTGTTTAGTTTTAATATCATTAAAATTCTAATTACGAGAAAAAGTCACTTATATGTGCCAATGGCATTATCCTAAACCCTAAACAAAAATTAAAAACAAAAGGAATCTAACTAAGAATTTTTTTTAAATGATTTAAAGTTTAATTTATTTTTTTAAAAAAATTTTTTAAAAAAAATGTGTATTTTTTATTTAAAAAATTAAAATAAAAACAAACATGCTCTTAGTTTTTTTATTTTCAAAACTTGTTTGCAACACAGTTTTTAAAATTTGTTGAGCATAGTTTGTGAAAAAAAAAACAGAAAAAACATTATTTAGTATTTGACTGACTTCAGGAAATAACAAGATCACACCTTTCTAATCATTATGAAAAATAAAATAAAATCTGATTTACAGATGAGACAGAATCAATTCCTTTCACAACTGCAGTTCATTTCTGTCAGTATTCTAAAGATGCAACTAAACTGACAATGAGAACATGATTCACTCATAAAATAACCCTTGACATGAATATCATCCCTTTTGATTTTGTCGAAGAATTTACATTAAAAAACCATTAGAACGGCAAGACTAAATTAATCTGCAACGAAGTTAGACACGAAGATGCCTCCAGCGAAATCCAGATATATGTTAAAAGAAACGAGCCTCTTAGTTCTTAGATTTAGAATGCTTTACTAGCCAGTTAATAACAGAGTCAATGTTGGTCGAGTTTTTGCATGATATCATGAAAACACAAACTTCTCTGTCAGTAATTGACTTCAGATCCCTGCATACCAGGTAGCTCTTTTAGTACTAAAGCAATATAAAGGTAAGAGAAAAATAAAAAATAGAAGATACAATACTCAAATCAGTCAAATACTGTTAAGTTTTTAGGGTTAGTTTACTTCGTTATAGCTCCAAGTTGACCAAAATAAAAGTGACATATATCTTACATTTGATCAGTCAAAGCTTGTTCAGACAGAGCCCCTGGTTTGTCAATTTTGTTCCCCAACGCCAACAAAGGAATGCCATTCAATGATGGCTTACTCAATAAATCATGCAGTTCACTCCTTGATGTGCTAAGGTTGTCTGGATCAGCAGCATCCACAACATAACTACAGGAAACATCATATTAGAACTTTAACCAAAATCCAAAAATAATATAGCATTAGACTCCTACAATAATGTAAATGTATAAAGGCATCAATTCAGAGAATTGAGCAACAACTACGCGATCCAATTACACAACCGCAAAAGACTTGAGAGGAAGACATATTCAGCAGCATCGTAAGTTTTGAACTACGAAAGCTGCCTTGTAATATAGCAAACCAAGTCTTTTAGAACTAGAAGGAATAAAACATGCATAGCAAAAGATTTAATATGTTTGGACTCATTCAATATTTCAATCAAGGACAGTCAAGTTTGGACTTCGGAGTCTGGACAAAGTTTCAAAGAGTTACACTCACTTCCTTGCCCCACAAACTGCTCTAACGATGACAAGCAATATTAACTAGTAAATAAAATATTGGGACTTGGGACACATGACTTGTAGAGTCATCAGTAAAATCACTTGTACAGGTAAATTCCTCTGGACTTGGTTGTTTTTCAGGTACCGGACAGTATATTTCAATTAATAATAAACTACGAAAGAGCTCTTGACACAAACATCAAATTGACAAGTGAATTGAGTCATTCACTTATAAAATATAAGTTGGGGTTCATGGAATAAAAGTAACAACTCCACCACAAATATTAAAAACGATAAAATCTACCGGTAATGGAACTAATATGAAGACCAAACAATTGTGTACTTTGTTTGATCAGAAATTCTATTACTAGATATCAAACAAATGGAAAACATCGTGCAGGCATACATTGGCAAATTACCACTACAAATGTACTAATATACACTAGTAGACTGTTAATTTTTCAGTTATGTCTGCAAATCATTGCATGTATCAGTGCTCTACTGAGAGAGAGAGAGAAGAAATTTTAAAATCATAAGGACATGAGAAGTTTGTTCCATACACAATAGCAGAAACTGCACGACAATAACGTTCCCACATGCTGCGGAACCTAGGTTGCCCTCCAAGATCCCATAACTTTATTGTAACATTGCCTTTTGTTACTTTCCTCATATTGAATCCGACCTGAAATCAGGACAAACAGATTGATCAAAATATTATTGTCCTTGATAAGCAGAAAACTTTAATAAGCTAATAACTCCTCAAGGATAAAGCTACAACTGAAAGCATTTGGTAAATAGCACTTACTGTAGGAATCATGTCCTCGCTGTACCCACCGGTCTACAAACAGGATAAGAAAAATATCTTTCAGTGAATCAGTCAAATCAAGAACAAGTTGCTAAAATAAAGCCAACATGATTATCATACTTACAGCAATAACATTTACAAGTGAAGTCTTTCCAGCATTCTGAAGTCCAATCAGAGATAACTCCATTTCTTGCTTGAAGAAAAGGCTGCAACCAAATTTACAATGTTGTAAGCTACTTTGAAGAAAGAAATTCTCTAGACCACTAAGTTCAGATCCTGTATCCACATGAAAGTACAATCAATACAAAACGCAACTTCCAGTTACAACCTAACACATGCAAGTTGTGTTATAAAAAGGGAAGATGGGTTTAAGCCAAACAATATAGCCATTCAAAGAATCCAGAAAACACCATTTCAAAAGTTCACAAATTACCTATGCTGAACAACAGCTCTTGTCAGTAATCTAATGATTGGAAATACCTTAACTTTGCAGTTGAAAATAATTCATTTAAACGGAAATGATTTTCAAATCATGAGAACAATTTTGTGAATGAATTGAATTCATAAATTAACATCATTCCCAACAAATTTTAGAGTGCATTTGAATATACAGCTTAATTAAATAAATAATTCAACAAGTTCTTTTTAAATAATGACTTATGCTATAAATTTAACTATAAAATTTATTGGAAGAAGCTGAAAACAGTTCACTGTGATAAGTTATACCAACAAAGTTATCAAAATAAGCACATATGAGAGTCATAAGTTATTTTCATAAGCTGTGACCCAAAGACCACCACAAAATTTAACGAAATTGGATTTTCTCCCATTTATCTCAACATAGAAAACAAATATTCCTACAAATTTCCCCTATTCAATAATATAAAGAACTATTCTGGTGGCACTGAACATGTTAAAAAGTACCATACATGATTTACACTAAAAAAATAAATAAGTAGCAACTACAATTTTATTTGCTGGGGTTGAAATCTAACCTGCGAAGCCAATTAAGAAACGATTCCCAGAACCCCATTGCTTCTCTTCTCTGATCAAAGTACACAAACAAATACACGGATCTACGATTCCTTTGTTTCACCACAACCCCAACACACACAGATCCCTTCAACACTGTCTATTGCATCAGTCTTGATTTTTATACGGTTACACAATACCTTCACTTTTCTTTTATCTTATTTTTCTCTTTATCAAATCAAATAACTTATCACGCATTTTACTCCAATTTCTTCTCCTCTTATCTTTCCCTAACAACCTTTTCCCTGATCGCATTCATATCAGACAAACGATTTTTTCTTATTAATTTTTAAACTTTACTTTTTCCTACGGAATTTTTATTCAATCGTTTAGGGCTTTGCCCTGATCATAGTCGTTGAAATCTCGCGGGTCCCACATAGAAGACAAGTATGGTGACGATGCAGAAGATTACAGCTCGTGATAAAGTTTTTAAATTTTAGCTTTATTTAGAAACTATTCCTGTCGATGACCTCACCCACCCTCGTTATTGAGCGCGTGAACGACCAACCACTAGAAACTTGGAGCGTGAGGTCACTGGGGCATAGCGTGTAAACACTCGCGTGCGGGGAAAGGCTGCAACAATGAGATCGTTATTATATTCAAATTTCTAAATGCAAGTTGCCACGTGTATATTAAAAAACGGTTTAGATTTTCACTCCATGCCCACATTATGGAGCATGGCGAGCTCACAACTGCCAGCGTATGATTTGCGAAATGTAAAGATTATCGTTAAAAAAATATAACGTAAAGATTCAAACGTGAATTTATTATTTCTACCTCATTTAATATTTTTTATTAAATAATTTTAACATATATATTACGTGAAAAAATATTCAAATTAATTTAAAATTATTTAATATTTATTTATATTCATCAAAATTGTTATAATATATTAAGAAAGTAATATAATACATATTTTTAAAATATAAAAATAGACATATAATATTTTATTTTTTATATTATTTAATTTTAAAATAAATAATTAATATAATATATAATTATAATTTAATAATTAAAATTAACAAAGATATGGTTTATATAAAAATTGATACATCTCATTTTAATATAATATATGCACATATATGTTCTATTTAACTTTTGTTAGCTCAAATTTATATAAATTTATATCTATATATTTAATAAGAGTTTTTTTTAAGAGAAAGAAAAAATTATATAACATATAAACTATTTAGAACTAAAATTTTAAAAAAATACATTTAGAGAATCATTTATATGGTAAAAACAATTTCAGACAAAAAGTATCAAATGAGCTAATAATAAATATAAGAAACTTAAAATTTTGTGTTAAAAAGTATTGAGGTTTGAGTTCTCTTATTGAAATCTCTTATAAAATTAAAATAAGTTTGGCAGCAAATTATTAAATTTTAATGATATTTTTTAACTAATGAATAAATTACGGGTAATCTATTATAAAATCATTTGCGCCTGTCCTACACTCTTTCCCTCCCTTTTGAGTATATACTTCAAGAAGAATCACATAGATAGATTAATACAATAAAAACTTCTAGGAAAATGTCTACCCATAATATAGGATACCCATAATATAGGAGATACAGTACAAGAGGGTATCGTACTATTGAGTCGATTGAATTCAATAATAGACGTTTGTTAGCATTGAAATATTTTTTCTTTTTCTTTGAGATCTTCTTTCAAGACTTATTTGAAAAGAAAGAGAATTCAGTACTTTAATTACTAAATTAACCTCGTAAACTACATGACTTATGAGTTCATGGAAGAAGTTTTGCTTAAGATGATTAATATCTTATAAAATAGAGCAAATTTTAAGAGAAATTAATCTTGATTCCTTCAAAATAAGGTTCATTACTTCTTAGCAATATGATTTCATGTAGATACTTCATTTCTCCTCATCTAAAAGCATATTATTCCTTCAATGTCAAAGTTGCCAGAGAATGAATAAATAGGAAATACAATATATATACCAAGTTAAGGTAGCAATCCAAGTAGCAAGAGGGTCATGGAAATTACAATGTCCAAATGACATTCCTAAATGAAACCAAACTTCTTTATAGTGAGAACAATTTATGAGAGAAGGTTAATGTCTTAAAGCTTAAGAGAACATTTAGGATAAAAACTTGAGAAAATAAACTTGTGATAACGACGCAAAGCATTAGTAATAAAGATCAATGACTAATAAGTCAAATAAAAAATCTAATTTCTTTATTACAGATAACTTTTAAATTTAATCAATATCTGAAATTGATAAATGGTTAAATCTCAAATTGTTGAGCGAAACATAAGCTATCTTTGCGGAATAAATCTCTTTTGTACTTCTCTAATACTACTCGTCTTCAATATTTCTGTGTGTTGACTTAAGAAGCTTGTATATCTTGAAGTTAGTGAGTTATTTGTTCTTAATACTTGAAAATTGGAATAATTATATTTTGCATACTACGAAGTTTTAAAATATTTTTTTAAGTAACAGAGTCTTTTAGGTCTAATTGAATAACTAATTCGCATATCACCCACACTCAAGCCCCCAACTTCTTAAAAGAGAAATAATTTTGTAATAGTCATCCCAATTAATGTTACCGTATGGATTATTAGAAGATCAAATAAAATATCTAACTACTTTATTAATTAGAAAACTAAATAAAATTTCCAACTATCTTATATAAAATATTATTCATAAAAATAATAAAATATTACTGTTAATATAATTGTTAAAAAAATAATAGAATGTAAACTAATTAAGTTCCTCCTTTTTAAAAATATTAAAATTTATCAATTTTTTTCTACTTAAAATCCTCAAGTTTTTAAAGGTAATCATTTACTTTTTTATAATATTTACAATGGAGTTGGAATATAAAATGATTCTATTCTTTTTTAAATAATGCACTCTAAGGAAATTTAATTTTAATATGGTGTTTGCCTGACATATTTACCGGAATATGGACTTTTCTGTATAATTATGAAAGTATGATATTTGAAAAATCGACAGAGACGATTTTTGCAATGTCTTTCGAGCCTTCAATTTTGACTCTCCAATCTTTAATTTTGACTTTTTTTCCCAGGCTAAAATAGGTACAAGCACGCTTATGGAATTGGGTACAAGTGCTATACAAAGCCAGTAAAATCGCAAGTGGCGAGTTTTACTAACTCTTTTCTGCAACTGAAAAATTGTGGGTAGCAATTTTTACCAACATAATAATACATTGTCCTGCAACTGAAAAATCGTGGGTGACGATTTTTACTAGCATAGTAGTGTATTGAAATGTCGCGAATGGAGTTGGAACTATGCTTATAAATAGGAATTGCACCATGTTGTGTATGCACGGATGAGAAGGAACTTACAGAAGAACAATACCAAAGAGGGGAATAAAATGGTTCAAGACGTGACTATGGAATCGCACAAACATATTTCACAACGTATTCGTACTCAAAATGTAAGTAAATATTTATTTTTTAATACATGCAATGTAGTATGATAAAAAAAAATTTAATTTTATTTGAGTTATTTATTTTTTAATTAATGCAATTTATTTTAAGTTTGTATAAAATAAAGATAATTATTTTATTCTAAGTAAACATAATAAAATTTATAAATTTTTAGTATTGGATAATTTTTATTATATTATTTACTTTTAATAAAAATTATTATCATTAAAAAAATATATAATAAATTATTCGTACTAAGTGTTAATATTAGCCATTGTATAATATTAAAATAATAATAATAATAATAATAGATGTAAAAATAAGTAAAACACAATTTATATTAAAATAATAATAATATTATGTGCGGGTATAATTAAGTATAAACATATCATTTTTTTTATAGTTAGTTTTTTTATATTTTGATATATATTTAATTCATAGATTACTGATAAATTACTGTTTTTAAATTTCAGATAATGAGAGTATTACGACCACGTCATTTATCTATAATGCCAACTAGGCCTAAAATAAATGAGATTTTACGAAATACTAGTTTTGATTGTATTGCACAATTATGTCAAATGCATATAAACGATGGCCTTATAAATGCACTTGTTAAACGTTGGAGACCAGAAACACATACATTCTATCTTCCTTGTGGAGAATGCACAATAACATTAGAAGATGTTGCTATGTTGCATGGACTGCGATGCAATGGTATAGCAATTACTGGTTCTACTAATCCAAATACTTTGGCATTGCAGAATATGTGTGAACAGTTACTCGGAAGTCGGCCCGAATCAAATGATGCTGAAGGTTCTGAAATAAGATTAAAGTAGATCACACAACACCTTGGTTGGCTTCCTGCTAATTCAGACATTAGGATAGCTCAACATGCTCGTGGATATGTACTTTCTTTGTTGGGACATATTTTAATGCCAAACAAGAGCAACTCCCTGGTACATGAAAAATTCTTACAATTGTTGGTAAATGTCCATGAAATTGGAGTGTACAGTTGGGGTTCAGCATGCCTTGCTCTTCTGTATAAAGGTTTGGATCGTGGTTCACGACATGATGTCAAAGAAATTTGTGGATGCATAATACTATTGTAGGTATGGCCATGGCACAGGCTCCCGTGGTTGGCTCCAATACCTGGTGAACCAGTAGTATTTTCACTTATACTCAGATGGAGACGTCGTCGATATCCAACCAAGATTCCATATAGGGATCTTGGAAATGTTAGACTAGCATTAGATAAAATGGCACTACATGAGGTACTTGTTAATATATTTATACATTTCTTAACTATTTTTATACATGTTTGAATTTATTTATGAATAATTATTTTTGAAAATGCAGTTCATGTGGCGACCATATGAGGATGAAGCGATTAATGTCGTTGTTCCACATAATCTGAGAGGAAAACATTTATTGTGGTCAACTGTAAGCCCGTTGATATGCTTTGAGGTTGTAAAGTGGCATGCAACTGACCGTGTGATGCGGCAATATAGATTTGCTCAACCTATTCCTCTCCTGCCCCAAAGTATTGACGGAGTCCACAACAAAGATTTACGTGGATTAAGAGAACCAAAGGACTGGAGGTTGATATATGATGATTGGGTGATGATGTGGGAACAACGACATCAGCGTACATTACAAGGAATGACAATTGACCAGTGTTACCCGTGCAATGAGTATTGGAATTGGTACATATTGTATGCAATGAATTGGTTATGGTTGTCTTCACAAATAGAACAGCCACCACCCTAGCAACAACAGCTTTTTGGTGGATGAAGAGCTTATGTCCTCGCCACTGTCCAAGCATCAACAGAGGATTCCACCACCGTCAGTTCAACCAAATGAGGAGTTTTATTGGTCACCAGACACAAACCAATGGCAGCCATTTGAATGGGATGAAGAACCCCTACAACAACAACCTTCACGAATGTCTATCGATAGAAGAGATAATCGTCGTGGGTCAACAAGCAATGAATCACGTCGAAGGAGATCAATTGATTGCAGTAGTGAAAGTGGGACATCTCGTGGGTTACTTTCTACATATGACTTTCTCATTGAGGATGCCAGACCTTCTCTTGATATTCTTGCATGCAACTTTGACCTTAATGAGAGCGCAATTATGGATGAAAGGAATTATGATGATGAAGATGTTTATCGACCAGAACTTATGACAACAAAGTGTGGTGGTACTTCTCAGCAAACATTTTCATTAGGTGAACAATATTCTGTGCCAATCATGTCTTGGGAGATGACACAACAGCACAACATATGTACAAATACATATGAAAATGTGGTACAAGCAGAACCTACAGTTGATGAGAGAGTTACACACAATGCCACAGATGATCAGGGTGTTGGGGATGACGGTCCTACCGAAGGAAGACGAAGGGGAATTTTCTCACGCATGTTACGTCCCTTCACCCATGCTCCTGATAGATATAGCCCCTCATTAATCAAGAAGAAAAAGGGAAAATGATGTTTGTTTAATGTTTATATTTATGTTTATGTTTAATTTATGTTTTCATTATTGTCTTTATGTTTAAGCATGGAATGTTATTTGTATTATGCAACTTTGTTTGTCAATAAAATATTTAATAAAGGAATCTTTGTTTGTTAGTTAAATATTATATGATTTATCATCTCTTACAGTAGACACTCTTTCAAAATATAACAAATATTGCATATAACCCTTAATACTGATTAAACAATACTACTTCATCTTACATGACGATAACAACTTAATCATCAAGAACAACAACAACAAAAATTAAAACTACATAAAACAACAACATCAACCTTACGAGCTTGACCTAGGAGCATTTGGACATGTTCTTCTACTATGGCTTTCACCTCGGCAAAGAGTGCAACATCATGTTCTTCTCATCTCAAGCCTATCCATTTCATTGAGAAAACGTGTTGATTTTGGACGACCTCTTATTATGGGCTTTAAATTTGGGTCAGGAATCAGTTTTGGGCCTCTATATATCCGCCACGTACTTTCATTTCCAATGACTCCAAACTTCTTCTTATATACTTTGCACAACTCATTTATCTTGTAAACATCTTCGACATAACAACGCCAATCAATGTTCTGACTAGAACAAGCAGCAATGACATGACGACATAGATATCTATCAGTTTGGATGTCACCACAATCACAATACCTTTGCCTGAGTTGGACTTTATATTCTTGATTATTGTTTACATCTTGAACAAGAAAAGTCTCATTTCGTCTATCCAATACAGTAACACAAAGGTTTCTAGATTCTTGTTCATTTGATTGAAGTCGAGTCGTCATAGCTTCAGAGAAAATATGTCCAGCCTTTTTTCGCGTATATGCCTCACAACCTTTACGTGCAAATAACCCAGCCAATCAAAAATAAGTTGCTCTAACCAGTGCTGTTATTGGAAGATTACGAGCGCCCTTTAATACTGAATTAATGCACTCAACAAGATTGGTGGTCATGTGACCCCATCGATGCCCGCCGTCATATGCAAGAACCCACTTCTCTCGTGGAATTTTATTAAGCCAGTCTATATATACCTCTCCACGTTGTCTCAACTGCTCATAATGAATGTTAAATTCTGATTCAGTTCTTGAATAACCTGCATACCACAAACTCATTAATATAAGCATGCCAACAACATATAAAATTTATAATTCAATGTAAATATCATTGACAGAAGAATAATGTCAATTACCCATGCGGACGACAAGTTTATGCAAGTAAGGTGTCTTAAATCTTCGCAAGAAATTAGCAGCAATATGCCTGATACAATACATGTGAAATGCCTTTGGAGGTTCCCATTGTCCGTTACTTCGTTTTATTGCTACATTAATTGACTTGTGCCGATCAAAAATAATACCAACACCATCCTGCGTCACGACATGTTTGCGTAAATTCTCAAGGAAAAAATGCCAACTATCTGCAGTTTCTCCTTCAACAATAGCAAAGTCAATCGGCAAAATATTCTGATTGCCGTCTTATGCAACAGCTACCAATAAAGCCCCATTGTATTTTCCATATAAATGTATCCCATCAACCTGCACAAGTGGTTTGCAGTGTCTGAATGCTCGAATGCAAGGAGCAAAACTCCAAAAAATACAACGTAATATTTGAACATCAGGAACCAACTCATCATTGCGATAAGCTTTAATAGCATCCAATTGAACAATTGACCCACAAACAACGTCACACATTGCTACAGACCATTGCGGCAGGGCTTCATACGAGGCTTCCCACTCACCATACACTTTTTCAATTGCTTTTTGCTTTGTCATCCATGCTTTTCTATATGTTGTCGTATATCCAAATCGAGCTTGAACTTCATTAATCACAAGTTTGATCTTAAAAGAAAGGTTAGATTCTACCATTGACTTAATACATTCTGCAATTGTGTCTGCATCCAACTTGCTATGATCCTGCGAAATCCTAACCCTTATACAAGTGTGTGGCCCATTATACTTCTTGATTTCCCAAAAATATTTGTTTTTCCTCAAGCTAGCCCAAACAAGTCAATCACAATCTATGCTATAGCTTACACATTTACAGTAAAATGTATTTGGTTCAGACTCAAATACTTTATAGTCCACTCCTTTTGATATACTGTAATGTTTAATTGTTCGTATAACATTTTCTCTGTCATTAAATTGCATTCCAACACATAATTCTCCTACTACCTCAGAATTACCTATCAAACACATAAATTTTAATAAAAAAAAACTAATTCATTCAATTAAACATAAAATGATAAGGGTATAATTAAAATATTTCAAACATCACATACCTAAGTTAGCATATTTTGGAAATTCAGGTACTTGCATACTTGTAAGATCTAACGCACGCATGAATAACGGCTCCTCAAACGGATGTTTGCCAATCATTGGGAACGATGCTCGCATAGGCTTCATCTTCCTCATCGCTACCTTCTGCATGTGTATCAGTTGTAATTTGTTTAAAAACAATATACAGCTTAATGGTAGGAGTTGGGGCCCGACGCTCATTATGTATTTGAAATATTTGTTGAATATCTTCGTCGGTTGTTATTGCAACTCCTTGGTATTGCATGAAACCTCCAAAAATACAAATCGGACACCTATACGTTATACTCTCTACTATTTTTGGAGTCTCCACTTCAATATATTGACAAAGCTAATATTTTAGTGCTTCATATGATATATTATAAGGAATATGCATACAAATTGGCTTCTCACATATAAATCTCACACATTCACATGTGTTTGTAATAATTTCACAATTAAAGTACACCACTATATTTGTACTCATTTCTTTCTTCAACTATAAAAAAATGGCCAAATTTGACAAACAAAAAAATGCAAACAGCAGAAATGCAATAGCAAGCTTTAGAGAGTGGAGAGAATAGGGTTACGGTGTAATTTATTACAAATAGCAATGACTATATATAGAACGAGATTTTAAAAAATGCCAGTGGTGATTTTACTTTTTAAAAATCGCCATAAACGATTTTTACTGTAAATTTTTTTTGAAAACTCGCCAGTGGCAGTTTTTGACTATTTTTTAATTTTTTTTTCAAAACTTGCCAGTGACAATTTTTACCATTATATAACATTACTTTTTCTAACATTCAAAAATCACCACTGGCAATTTTTTTATTTTCGCATATTTATGTAATTTTTTTCTAAAGTCCATATTATGGTAATTAAGTAAAAAAAAATCCATATAAAAAAAAATGACCCGATGGTTGATTGTTGTTATTATTATTTAATAGATGACAATTTAATTATTTTAATTTGTAAAAAATTGAGTAAAAAATTAAAATTTAGGAGTTTAAGTAAAATAATCAATGGTGACTAAATTAAAAATTATATTTTTAAATAATTTCAAAAAACTGTTTCTAAAAAGAAAATAAAAATAAAACTTGTATTAACAAACAAATTTTAGTTTTTTTAAGTCCAAAAAAAATATAAGTTTCGGAAAGAATATATATTTTTTTAAGAAGAATATACATTTCACGTAACTATAAGTAAAACATTTATTCTAGTTGTGTAATCTTGGACTGTATAAAGGGTATATTATGAAGTTCGTTAAATAATTGTAGCAAAATATTTGAACTTCTTGGACTGTATTATTTTATATATATATATATATATATATATATATATATATATATATATATATAAATAGGAACTAAGGTAGTACTAGTATAGAGAAATATTTTTTGAATACTTGAAGGGAATACTTTTATTTTATTTTTTTTTGTCTATTTTTAGAACGTGTGTATATATACAGTAAATTTTTTTTTTTTAAAGAATTCTATTTTAGGTTATTTAAGATATGACAAATATTTTAACTAGAAATATATAAGGAAGACAGAAAGTCTTTTATTTAGAAAATTTTAAGAGAAAATCGTGCTATGATGGATAAAATTGACGAGTTTCATGCACATTAATGGAGTCGTACAAAAGAAATATGAGAGAAGTTCTGACGATTGGACATCACCGTGACTGGAGGGAGATGAAACGGACTCAAATGAGAGTTTTTAATTAAAAATTAATCATACTGTTTAATTTTGATCTCACGAACATTATAAAACGTCCCGTTTGTTAAAACAATTTTAAATTTTTCTTATTTGATATGTCAAGTACACACACTATGTTAATTATTTCCACCAGAAAAATGTGTGTTCACACTATTTATCAGAAGTTTAATTTTTAAAGATTTAATTAAAAAATAAAATTACAAAACTTTTAATTAAGATTTTGTTGAAAGTGTATAATCCTGCACATTAATTTAACTTAGAAATAATGGTGAATTGAAATAAATGCAGAGATGGGGAAAACTGTTGGAGCTCATTAAACTGGGTGGACACACTATGGATCTAGTCCCTCCTGTCGTGAATTAAGAAAGCAAGGATGGTCATGCAAGAATCATACTCTCCCATATTCATAGATTGTCCCGAATGTGAAGAAGAACATTCCTGACTTTGACTCGGGGTTGGGTACTAAAAGACAAAGGGCACCGTCATAACCGCATCTTTATCTGGTTGGAAAGTCAACTTCATCAACTCAGATCCAAACTCCGCATGAAGTTAACTGCACAACAACAATCGACTTATTCATTTCCTTGTTTCTAGACAGCGAAATGCTGGATTCAGCTACCTAGTGTGTCTGTAACGCCAAAGAGAATCCCATGTCCGGTGCTTTCCCTAACTCCATCGTTCGCCTTGTACCAGGTGAGTGAGTGTGTTCTACTTCACGCACACTTACCTTTCTTTTTCTTTTTTTTCCTCACTTCTTAAATTAGCCAGCTTGTATCACGCATTCTACCTTGACAAATCGCTGCATTATCCTCATGCGATCTTGTGTATAAAATCCCTTTTCACCTTCTAAAGTTTAAACTCATGAAATTACGGTGATTAGTATCCAGGTCTGAATTCTGAAATAAGCTAATTCGATCCTAAGATAGTGCTTTGAGATACTTCCTAGGTTCTAATCAACACCAAAGAGAGGGGTGGGTTTTATAAAACCGGGGTTTAGTGCCACTTCCAATTTAATTTTGCAATGAAGATACATGTTATTGTCATTATTTTCAGGTTTTTTTCATAACAACTTCTGTGGCATGTAAAACAGACGTTTGAGATTTGTTTTTAATCGGGTTATCAGGTCTCCATAGGTTGCATTTTGTTAATTGCAATTTCAAGCATGATTTTGAAGATAAAAAGGAAGCGAAAATGGGGAACCTATGCAGGAAACCAACTATTTTACGTTGCAATGCAGGGAGCAGAATCAGCAGATGCTGTTCTACGTCGGCTGTGATATGGAGCTCTTTAGGAAGCTTACTTTTGCTTCATCTATATTCCACTATTGACCACAAACATGGGGATGGTGGAGAGGTCCAATTCCGTGTAAGCCGTTATCACCATTATCCTCAATTCCGTGAACTTCAACAAGTGGAAGAGGAGAAGATCCAACTTCCGTCACCAAAAGGGAAGAGGTCTCCTCGGGCAGCAAAACGCAGGCCTAAGCGGATAAGCCCACTGGTTGATGAATTCTTGGATGAAGATTCACGACTGAGACATGTTTTCTTTCCTGGTAACAAGAGTGCTATAGATCCAATGAAGGCCATGGGAAATGATAGTTATTACTACTACCCAGGGAGAATTTGGTTGGATACTGATGGAAATCCCATTCAAGCTCATGGAGGGGGCATTCTATATGATGAAAAATCACGCACATACTACTGGTATGGTGAATATAAAGATGGGCCCACGTACCATGCTCATAAGAAAGGAGCTGCCCGGGTAAGCTATTTCAATTGATCAAGTTATTGTTTTAACTTTTAATTAATGATTGTCTTGATGACTTGGGACTTTATTTTTTCTATTTCATTAAATAAATTTAATGGTTGCCAATGGCTAGCTTCTTTTATGCTAGTGAAAAATTTCTTGTAAATTGCATCATTTGCTTATTAAAATAAAAAACAATAAGATGATTTCCTAATAAAACTTATTAGAGAAGAGATGAGGATTTGACTTTCATGTATGAATTGATCCTTCTTTGCCCCTAGTTACCTGTTTAGATATATAATTAATTCTTCTTCTTCTTATTATTATTTTTGTTGCTGTTGTTTAAGAAGGGCATTTATGATCCTGGCCTATTTATTCTAAATAACTCCTACACCTCAAGTAATGAACATTCTTAGTATCATCATTATTAATTGATGTCTTTGGCAGAGAAATTGTATTTGTTTCATATGTCTCATTTGGTTCTGGAGATGTTGGCATAATATTTCCTTAGTCTTGTTTTTCTACCAAAAAAGGATATTATTAGCAAATATAGTCTTTTCAATTTGGATAAGATGCAAATACTAGCATAATATCGTGCTGATAGCTTTTACTAAAAGGAAAAAAAAATCACACTGAGATTTAGGCCCTAATATCTTTGTAAAAATACAGAGATGACAGTAATGGGCACATAATTACTGTAAGGGAATCCACCACTGTCTGTTTCTTACTCTTCATGGTAATAGAACCACCAGCCTAATAGGTATGACAAATTCTCCACCTCAGTGAACAGTCATCATAGAAAATGGCTTGCCAAGCAGCCCATTTGGATTTCAAAGTGTGCAAAACAACATCTCAACGGGCTGTTCTTTGAGGATGCTAGTTGACTCATGAGCCCTCAACACTTAGAGAAAACTCTGTCAAGGCTTGTGTCACTGAAGTTAATTATGTTTGCCAACCAGTCTTCTATACAGTTCTGGATCTGTAGGGATATTACCATCATCTTCTGAAAGTTTCACTATACGATTTGTTAGGATCTAACATGACTTAGCTTCCAATAAACCATTTTTGTCAATCAAATCAATGATATACCTTTTTTGACAGAGGATAGACTTATTGCTTGGACTACCTCAATACCCAAGAAATACTGGGCCTAGATCCTTTTTCTGAGTCCATATCTGAAGAAAATATCTATGTGCACAAGTACTCTCATAATGACTGCCCATAAGTGCAATACCAATAGCATAATCCACCAAGAGAATATAAACCGGTCTATATTGTTGTTACGATACATGATTAAAATTGCATTTTTGTAGTTCAAAATTTGAAACAGCTTAACTGATTGGCCAGACCAAGTCTTGAGGCCATACAAGATTTCTTGAGACAATACATCTTGCCACTTGTCCTTTGAATAACATAGCTGTGGTTTCTCTGTAAAACTCATCACTTCATGGAATTATATGATAATATATAGAACTAAATGCTTTGGTGAACATTTGATATAGCGTGGAATTAAGCGTGTAGAGGTTAGCATTCTTAATGAGATTATAAAAAAGTGGTCCAAGTGATATGATTGAAGCTGAGAGAGAGCAGTTTATGATTGATTTTTACCTTTTGCTTTCTTTATCTCCGAAGAAGCATGCCTAACTAGAGGGTCAAGGATTCAAGATACCTAAGCTAAGCTTTCAAATGGAACAACACATGGTTGAAAACAACTTCACTTGAACTTTGAATGGATAGAAACTTGGGCTAAGGCATGATGAGTTGGTGCTTTTCCTAGATTTGACCCATGACTAAATTGCATTGCTTTTTTGCAAAGCTTTTCCTCACCCATCCACTGCTCATTATTCCTTTCATTATACTTCACAACTTATATGTCCCATCAAAGGCTCAAAAGTTTACTGTATGTTAGTTCTTTTCCTATTATTGAACAATAAATTTCTAATTACGGAACTTTTAAAACAGATTATATGTATTGTAAATTTAGCAAAAAAACAAGACAAGAATGATACATTAGAAGTTAAAATTGAAGATAATATTATATCACAAGTTTTCAGCTTCTAATACTTGCTATCAACTGTCCAGAATGATAGGAAAATTAACGAATATGTAACTTATAAGATACAAGATGAGTGGTTAAATTAGAAAAAAGAAAAACATAAGGAATTATTTATAACTATAAAATACCTATCAAGTTGAAAGAGAAGTTAGATCATATTGTAATATGGTCAGCTATCCTATATGGTAGTGTAAGGAAGCGAAGTGATAAAAATGAGAATGTTAAGATAGATAAGTGGTTGCACAAAAAAAGATATAATAAAATATGATAATATACGTGAGAATATTGAAGTAGTACTTATAGTAAAAAATATAACTTAAAATCGTTTAAAGTAATTTGGTCATGTGCAGAGAAGATTTTTGGAGGTATCAGTGAAAAAAGTGGTTTGCATGACTTTAGTTCAGTAAAAAAGAATTGAAGGAGATTCAAAAGAACTTTAGATGAAATTATTAAAAGAGACCTTTTAAATTTTAATTTGTCAAATTTTTGAAAATTTAGTTTTTTTAACTGAACTCAATGATGTTGTGTGATCCTTGTAGTTGACCTCATCTAGTGGGATAAGACTTGATTGTTGTTGATAATCCTTGTAGATGAAACTATGTTTTGATCATATGTCCTGTTGTTATATTCTCATCTTCCAATATCTTCAAGGGAACTGTTTTTTTCAACCAAGTATGAATATTTACTCAACTGCTGCATGCACTTGTGACATAACTTTGGGCTTTATCTCTCTACCTTTGATCAGGTGGATATTATAGGAGTTGGTTGCTATTCTTCTAAGGACTTGTGGACCTGGAAACATGAGGGTATTGTATTGGCAGCAGAGGGAAAAAGTGAAACTCACGACCTGTACAAGTCTAATGTGCTTGAGAGGCCAAAAGTGATTTACAACGAGAAAACCAGAAAGTATGTGATGTGGATGCACATTGACAATGCCAATTATACAAAAGCTGCTGTTGGCATAGCAATTAGTGATATGCCTGATGGTCCATTTGAATACCTCGGAAGCCAAAGGCCACATGGATGTGAAAGCAGGGATATGACAGTTTTCAAAGATGAGGATGGTGTGGCATACCTTATCTACTCCTCTGAAGAAAATAACGTACTACACATCGGACCCCTGACTGAAGATTATCTGAACGTGACGTCTGTCATGAGAAGGGTTTTTGTGGGACAACGCAGAGAAGCACCAGCTGTTTTCAAGCACCAGGGTACATATTACATGATCACATCAGGGTGCACAGGATGGGCCCCAAATGAAGCACTGGCTCATGCAGCTGAGTCAATCTTGGGGCCTTGGGAAACAATGGGAAATCCATGTGTTGGAGGGAACAAAATGTTCAGGATTGCCACCTTTCTTGCTCAGAGCACTTTTGTTCTTCCCCTACCTGGGTACCCAGGTTCATTCATTTTCATGGCTGATAGATGGAGTCCAGCTGATTTAAGAGACTCCAGATATGTTTGGTTGCCTTTGTTTGTGGCAGGACCTGCTGATCAAGCACTAGAGTACAGTTTTGGATTCCCATTGTGGTCAAGAGTTTCTATCTATTGGCATAGAAAATGGAGACTGCCACATGGGTGGAGCACATTCAAATAATTTGGTCTTTTGCTGTACATTTCTGGTAATTAAGGAAGCACTGATACCTCGGACTTTTTCTTTTAGTTTTTGATTTTATATCAATTAAAATGAAAATACCACAATAATTAGGTAAACGATTACTTTTATTATGTATACAAATGACTAGTGCTAAATTGCAGAATATCAACTTACTCTTTTGATAAAGTATTTTCTGTTTTTATGTTAGTTTTAAACATGTCTTGGTTAACTATTTTAAATTTGTTATGTTCTTGTATTCAAGTTCTATTGTATGTATGTTCCGGGTCATATTGATGTTTACTTCGGTCGTCATATGTGAAGACTCACTATATATCTTACCAAGTTGCATGCCCTTGATAATAGAAAGCTCACTTACTTTACGAGGCCTCGGACAGAGAAATTCAGTCTCAAGAACATGCATCGCACTTGAACTCTTTCAATTAAGGGAAGTTCATGTTAGTTTGAGGAATCCTATGTATATTGAGAAAGATTATCCACTGATATGGATATTTTTAACTGTAATAATCAAGCATTGCTCTCCAGCGATGTAATGACCTTATGTATAATTAGTTGTGTAAACTATTTTCGTGTTATGGCATGTTGGCTTTTTATTATTTGGGGTCAGTGGCAGAACTAGAATGATTTCTATGGAGTGGTCATGTGAAAAGAAAAAAAAAGTTTAAATATATTTTTAAGTCTTAAAAAAAATGCTGAAGTCAAAACAAAGACAATTTTGAAAAGGATCTTATAAGTAAAATTAATTAAAAAATTAATATGGATTGACATCATCTTACATCCCTTAATAACTTTAATAAAATATAAGATTAATTTTAATTGTATGTTTGAAGTTTCGTAACAAGTAGATTAAATTTATAAAATTTTATAAAAAATAAAATAAAGTATTTTATTTTATTGTTTGATTTTAATGTAATATTTACAAATTATAATTAAATATTAAATTTTAGATAATATTTTTACGAATCTTTAAATTATATAAAATTTGATATGTGTGATTATAAAAATAATTTAATAGTTGACACGGATCTAATTTATTGAAAAAAAATTTATTTTTATTTTAAAAAATAAAAATAATAAATCAAACGTTATCTTATTCTTAAAACGATATTAATGCATATGGAGAGAAATAATAATAAAATTATTGTAAGAGTAGGAGGGGTCATAATAACATGTAGACCCGTCCCCGTTGGGGGTTACCTGCTATTCCTTGTAGAATTGCTTCACATGGAGAAGGGATGTGGGCCATTGAATGGTAGTTAAAGCATGAGATTCATAATAACACGTTTTGATTTGACAAAATTTGACCAGTGAAACTCAAACTTAAAAATTTGCAAAATAAGTGTAGTGACGTGATCTTTTAATTTTACCTTTTTACTTTACATTTATCTTTTAACTTTTTTTTTAAAATTTAATTCTTTAAATTTAATTTTTGTCCTAAGTTAATACTTCCACTGTAGTGCTATGAAATCTAGCTGAAATTAGTTTTTTTTTAATAAATTTTAAAATCGATTAATGTGTTTCTATAAACATTGTATTATGACCAACATCTAAAAAATTGATTTATCAGTCAAAATGAGAGATTAAAGCGTGGAGATTAGTGATTATCTTTATTAAATTCCAATTTTAAATGCTCATTATTTTTATCCTTTCTATGATTATTAAAATTAATTGAAGATTCTTTTAGAGATCGTGGTGTCACTAACATAAAAGTTTTGTGTAATTTTATTGACTAAAATGAAAAATCGACAGGTTATTCTTTAAGACTTATTTTGCTTCAATAATGAAATTTATAATTTAATAATAAAATGCTAAATCTTCCTACTATTCCAGCTTATAAATCCTCCTTCTCACTAAAAAGCAATATGTGTCTTTTGAAAAATATTAATTATATATATATATATATATATATATATATATATATATATAGTTTTTTTCCTCCCTTTAAAAGACACATGTCATTTTTACATAAGTAAGATAATTTGTAGACTAAAATTGTTGAAATATACTGAAACAATAAGAGGATTTAGCATTCTCTTTTGACAATAATTTTGTTTGGGCAAAGGCTTTAAGATAACTCAATTTGAAAATGTAGTTTTTGGCAAGATTTAGCTGTGTGATAATGAAAATATTAATTTGAGACAAGAATAAAAGTTGGATGAGCAAGGACTTGTTTAGACTAGCTCATGAACCTCTTATAAAAAATAACATATAACTTTTATAAACTGCTTGTAACTTATTTTAACAACTTTTCTAATATAGTTTATCAAAATAAGTTATTAATAAGTTTTATTTTTAATTTTATGACATAAATTATTATTTAAAAAAAACTTATTAAATAAATATTTAAATAAATTATGTATCTAAACGTACTTTAAGTTGAGATAAAAATAAAAATTAAAAAACTAAATCGAATAAAAAAAGGGGTTAGAAGATGAATTTCAAACTAAAAGTAAAGTTGAAAAAAATTCACCTTAAAAATATGATTAAATCACGTCTTTAGTCTTTGAAGTTAACAAAAAAAAATTTATTTGTTCAAATTTTTTTTTATCTCACTGTGGTTGTGACATTTTCTTTTTCTATTAATAGTAGTAATTTTTTTTAAGTACTACTAAAACTAATAACTTGAGTAAAAGAGAAAAAAACATTGCAAATAAAAAAATGATATAAAGGACGGAATTAAGAAAAAAGAAGAAGAAAGAGACGGTGAAAGAATTAAAAACTTTAAATAGGATGAAATGCATAATATGAACTACAAAAGTCAAGAAGCTATTAATTTTTATTGACTCACTGCATAAATTGCAATAATGATTAGCTAATAGCCTGTTTGGTTGGTAAATAGATCACCCTCACCTGACATTAATTTCAATAAAATCAGTAAATGAAAGATCGTTGGGACATAGACATGCTTTAAACCAGAGTGACATTATACAAAAAAAGAAATTTTCCATAAAGAAGGTTTGGGTTAAATTGTTATTGATTTTTAAACAATTTCGGTGTAGATAAGCTTAATATTGTTCCACAAACATATTTAATTAGACCGTACTTTATATTTTTATGTAAATATTATTAAGACAAAATTTGTGGGGAGTACCATTAGTGCTTTTATTTATATCCATTTTTTTTAATGATGTTTATTTTTGTTTTTATTCTGGTGCCATTTGTGTTAGACTTTTGCTATATTGGTGGCGAGTTCAGCACCATTAGTTTTTTTGTACTTTCGGTGCCATTTCTCTGGTCTGGTTCACTGATTCTTTTTAAAAAGAAATTTGGGCCAAAAGTTGTTAAACTGAGATGTGACTAGATGGTTGTAACAAGGCCTGATAGTGGGCCTTCATGGTACCCAATTGGTTGTTATCCATGAAACATCGACCCAATATCTGTTGTGGGCTCTTCAATTGCTTAAAGCCATGTGGACCAAAAAGTAAATTCTTTGCACAAAGCCATAACTACACAAAGGTTCCAATGTAATCCAAAAATGAATAGGATATGTCAAGTGCGAGTTTTATCCCAAATTTCTTTCTTCCTTTTTCCATTAGGATTTATTTGGATGTAGGGAAGTTAAGGTGTAGGGAAGAAAGTGGTAGAAAATTTAATAATTTCTTTTGTTTGGATGGGGTAAGGAAGGAGAATAGGGGTTTTATTATTGAGCCACCACAAAAAATAAAAATAAAAATTCCGAATCATAAAGAAATGAAGAGAACATGAGGGAATTAAAAATATTAATAATATAAAAAATTATAAAATTAATTTTTTTATTAAGACAATTACTATAATATAAAATAGTTTTTTGTTAATTTAAATATTTTAATACAATTCAATTATTTTCTTTTATTCTTTTTTCTACTCATCCAACAAGTGAAAATTTATTTTTATCATTTTTTTCCTTCTTATTTTAACCTATTCAAATATAAGATTTTTTTCATTCTATTCTCGATTCATTTCTCATCCTCCTATTTGTTTTCTCTTTATTTCACCTTACCTCCAAACATACCATTATTGAATTAGTAGTACAAAAGTATTCTATTATTTTCGGAAAGAAGGAACTGGGGGTTTTGTTTCAAAATGGAAAACACAGAGGGACAAAATCCTGAAGTACTATGAGTTGGAAATTAAGCACTTACGTTAGCTTTCTACTTGAATCTGGTCCCATAAAAACATAAAAAGCATAAGGTGGTCATTGTCAATTCTTAGAAAAAGAGACTAAAGCTTAAACATGTAGAAGGTATGGGCCAGCATCGAACTCTCTTTAAAAATACACTAAACAAAAGCAACTGCAATTGTTTTTAAGATATACAAACCTAAAAAGATGAACCCAGAATTAATATATAAATATATATATGTTTTCATTGTTTTTGTACTTACAATAGATATATTGGCTTTCATGGGCAAAAGGTACCTCCTATGAACCCTTGCCTTCATGAAAAAGTTCAGGTTTATGTGGGGGGCATATGAGGAAAAAGCTGAAATCCTTGTCAAATATAAAGATGATAGACTTTAGACTTTAGAGATAGAGAGAATAGAAGAAAAGAAAAGAAAAGAAAAGAAAAAGAAGACCATCTCAGTCGACATAACATGCTGGCCACTTGGTTTAAACCCTTAAGCCACTAATGACTTACTATACGCCTTTTAATGGATTCCCCAAACCATAAACCTAATTTGATGGTCATCCTAACTCCTAAGATTCGGTGGCCCCAAAATCTGGAAACCTTGATTATTTATTAAACTCATCATATCCTTAAAGATTACATAGTATCATATATATTTGGTTATTTCCACAAACACAAACTGAACTCAGTTTATTTTGGACGCATATGTGAAAAGAAAATTAACGCCATTATGGTAGGCTAAGACAAACTGCTAAAAAAAAGATATTGCATATTGTCAAAATTCAAGATAATAAGAGCATTGTCCAGCTTAATTCTGTTTTTGCTGTTAGCTAAGGACACAAACAATTATGCACCATCATCTCTGGTCAAATTGGGACCATAACCCCACCTGTAAGGAAAGTGCTACTTGAACTAAGTCAATACGCTTCAATCAATAAAGTCATTGTTTCATTGAATATTATTACGTCCATTAAAAAACTTTAGTGATTTAAGATATTTAAATACCATTCATTTAATACTATTAGCTTTAAAAAATATACTTATATTTGTTATATTATTCTCTCGTTATTTCTTTTATATTTTCTCATTATAGAAGTATAAAAAATAAAAAAAACAATGATAATCAAGACTTTTTTTTTCATGTTTTTAAATAAACAATGTTATAGGACTAAAAGCACTCTCTTGTATGGAGAAAATCATTCTATTATTTATTTAATTTTTATATTCTTCATATACATATATCCTATAATTACTTTCTCATAATTAAAGGAGACAATAAAAGTCGTTTAATTAGTTTGGTGCATAGTATATACTCATTAGATTGAACAATGGAAACGAAAAGCATGTCAATCAATATTACTTTATATATATAGTTCATACAAATATGCAAAGCCACAACCTATTCTTTCGTAAACAAAAAATCAATCATAAAATGTTAAAAAAAATAATAATAATTTAATTACTTAAATAGCTCCTTTTGAACAGAAGCAAGCGCCCATGAATCCTCGTGTCTTACCAAACTTATATTTAATGGAAAGAACGAAATAAAAGAGGAAAGCCCAATACTGAAGTAAAACTCCGAATTAACCCTTTCGCACGTGGCAAAAAAACCGAGAACACGTGCGAGGCAAGTCACTCGTGTGAAAGCCATATGATATGATATGATACTATACGACCCCTCTTTACGTCAAGGCCTCCATGCACTGGCCCACACCACCGGTTGCTCCTTCCACGACAAGAATATTCCGGCGTCGGAGCACTGTGCCATCGACCACCCATCCTTGTACCTTCTCAACAGCGCCCTCACGTCATCACACACCTCCTCGCTAAACGGCACGGCGTTTAACCCTCCCCCATGCAGCCTCATCCCCCACCGCGTCGCCGTCTCCCGCCGCTCCACTGATTCAGCCGGTGAACATGCCACCAAGTCCACGATCGCCCTCCCCGCCGCACGTTCCAGCATCAACCTCTCATTGCTCGTCCTCGCAAAGCTCTCATCAAGCGCCTCAAAGTAAACCCTAAACCACCTCAAACACTCCTCAAACCCTTTCACGAACTCGTAACCCTCGAACCCCACGTCCAAATCAGCTTCCTCTTCCACCACCGTCACAATCCTCGGTTGCAACCCGTGAAATGACGATATCAACACGTCACGGTTATTCCCAACCGCAGAAACGGAATGCAAAGCGTTGACGCAGTTAACGGCTAACGCCTCGTCCTCTTTGATGTCAAGTTGCGACAAGTTCAATTCCGAAAGGTCACCGGCGTGATGAACGACGTTAAACTTAAACGGCACTCCCATGAGCCTGGCGAATTTTTCCATTCTTGTCCCTATTTCCTTCATCACACGTTGAAGGGAGTTACCGGGTCTTCCGGTAACCACGGTGGTCAGACGAAGTTGTGGGGTTTCGTCGGTTCGAGTGGCTAATGCTTCGAGAAGGGTTGGCCATTGGGTGCAATAGGTGTTGCTGATGTCAACTATGTGCAACTTTGAGTTTCCTTCTAAGGCTTCTAAGATGGCTCCGTTGGACGCCACGTGTCCGAAGGTTGTCCATGGGCTGACTTCTTGGAACTTGAGAACCATCTTCCTTGTGGATTCGAAGGAGCATGTTTTGTCCGACGCCGAGGCTAAGGTTCGGTAGGTTCGGTCACCTGCATCGGTGACGCGGCTGAACAAGGCTTGGAAGAAATACGCGGCGAGTTTTTGGTCGGTGTCGCCGAAGGGAGAACTGAGTTCGTTGAGCATCCAGAGGAGGTGGTGGACGCGGTTGCTGTTGTTGTCGGCGATGGCGCGCGCGGTTTCGAGGAGGACGTTGTGTGACCAGTTGGTGGAGAAATCGAAGTTGAAGTTGAAGTCAGGGAGTGGGGAGGGGGAGAAGGAGTAATCGGTGGTGGTGGTGGGGGTGCTTGTGTTTGTGTTAAAGGTTGTTGATACATGGGGGTGGGGTTGGTAATGGTAATAGTGTTTAGAAGAAGACGAGGATAGGTCTTCTTCATCCATGTAAAAGTTGAAGCATTCTTCGTCTTCTTGTTGGGAATAGTAATGATAGTTTTGTCTTGAGGATCTCGAGCTGCTTGATGTTCGGCTCGTGGTGGAGTTGAGGGATGGATCGGGTTGTTGTTGTTGTTGCTGTTGTTGAAAATTCACTAGTCTAAACAAGGTATCCATTTAACCCACATCAATAAGCACTGTGAGTCTCTTAGGTGTGGTGTAGCTGCTTCTCCACACAAGGAAACGTGTTTTTAACAGTGGGAAATTGGGGTACTGTTGGGGAATGATTGGATGAAGAAGTTGGTCAATGTGGATAGATTCTACTTACCTTACACGAATAGCTTATTTTTTTTTTTCTAAAATTAAATAAAATAGGTGTGGTGGAGAGGTACGTAGGTGTAGCCCAGCCTTTGATAGAGGCAAATTTCAACCAACTTGATTAATTTAGGAGATCACTCCACTTTCTTTTTTCTTTTTTTCTTGTTAAGGGTTACGGTATCTAATAATTATTTATGATAAGTTATTAAATATTGCTTTTTATTTTTTAGTAACATTAATACCTATTATATATTATAGTTCGTTTACTTTCCCTTTGTGTGATAGACGTGCGGGGATTGGAAGTGGGGTTGGCTTTGTTTAGATAGGTTATTCGTTCTTGGGAGGGGGCTTCTTTATTAAAAGAGAAATTCTATTTATGTAATATTTACATTTTTTATAATTAAGAAAGAAATAAGGAAAAAGAAAATGCATAAAATAAAATGAATAATATATTAAAAATAGCCATGTTGAGGGGATTGACTAATACAAGTTTCTTGGTCTATAACTTGAAAAATCTAGTAGGGTCGTGGCCTAGTTCCCTGATACTTAGAATAGAATTCTCTCTGACAAAAGATGAAAAATAAGAAAGTGTGAGAAAAAGCGTGGGAGGAAGAGATAGTGGATTAGCTTTTCATTCTTTTAGAGAGAAAGAAAAACAAAATAAACAGCAGAAAAAATGGGAGAGAATTTACAAGTATTGTATGAGTGGGAGCAGGCGTGCCCAACTGCCAATTGGGGTTAGAGAGAGAGAGAGAGTAAAAGCTGCCGGCGTGAGTCATCATCATCAAACCCACTATCATATCGTAGCAGTAGCACAACCCACTCACGTTCCCTGCCTCCTAATCACTCTCCAAACTCTGCCAAAATTCCAACCAACTTTTTTCCTTTTTCTATTTTATTTGCATTAACAAGGAGCTTGGTACTTGTATCATTATACTATTCATTTTTATAAGCATCTTTTGAATATTATACTATATTATATTCTTTTAAAAATATAAAAAGCACTTTGTTTATTTTATAAATAATCTTAACAGTAACATAGAAAATAATTAGTTTATACTACTTTTAAGGAAGTAATTTAACGATCATGCGGCGGAAACAGAGAATTAAAAGATTTAGATAAGAAATCCATACATCATTGCGTGATATGATACTGTTCTATTCTAATACCAAAGTGTTCCCTGTCTCTAAGTTCAAGGGTGGCATGCCTTCTTACTTTTTCTCCACTCTATTTCATGCCCACGGTTTTATAACCACGCACTGTACACCCCTCAACCCTCGATTAGCACCAAAACTCTTGGCTATTTCTATGAATTTTAATATCAAGGCACCACAACCATTGTTCTCATCCCTTGCCATAATCCCTAATTGTTTATATCCTATTTGAATGCAGCTGTTTTATGTTAATTCTTCAAAAACCAAAGTCCGTTTCCTAGCTACATTGTCTCTCTAGTATGTAACCAAAATGTTAGCTTCACTTTCTACTTGTGTGACTCATTCTACATCCCCTAAAAATTAGCATAAAATCTGTACCTGGCCCAGACAACACCTCATTACAACTACAAATTGACGTGCCACTTGTTTTAGAGTTTAATTAGCTTTTCTTAATCATGCTGACTGATTATTGAGATTAGGAGATCTTTGTTGGAAAGGTTAAATGTTTCTTTGTTTCCCTTCATCAATCATTAGGCAAAATCCATGTTTGAACTCCTTATCCCCATGTCTTGAAGTGGGCCTTGGAGTTGAATCCATATATTTATTTTACTTCTGAGAAAAATTAATCCTAGACAAGATAAGACAGGTTATTGCCCATACTGAAACTCATGGCCTTCATTTTGCTTTTCTTGTTCTGCCCTTTCCATCTTCTCTTTTCTTGCTTCCCTTGTTTTGTGGGGGATGGTGGGTGAGTGTGAAAGGGATCCACCCTTTGCTTTGATGTTCAACTATGTAGAGAAGAGTTCTCCAATTAGCACCCATCATCTTGAGCTATATTTTAGATGTAACTGATGAGTTTAACTAGTATTAACATTCAGTCTCTTTTCTTCGATTGTAATTATTAAATTAAAAGAATATTGACGTGTAAAATGTTCTGTTTCATAAAATTATTTAAAAGTTTACAATTTGTAATCTATAGTTGATAAATCAATTTAAAATTTATAGTTTATAAAATTGCCTGACTAAATTAAATTTTTTTTAATAAAATTAGTTATACAGGTAAAATGCGATAAATGAAAATAATATTAAAAATATTGATACAAATTTTCAAATTTATAATTTTTTATTTATTAAATAATTCTACTAATTTACTAATAAAAAATATAAACTTTTATTATTAAACATACTTATTGAAATTCACGTCACAACTAGTATAAGCAAGGGTATATGGTTGAAGTATCAGATCCTCAATTGCTCCTTACTCCATAACAATAATACGGGATTATTTTCATTTGGACCGTACCACTACCCCATATACAAAATCAATTATTATTTTTTTCTCGTCTCTTTCTTTATATTTTGTTTATATTATTTTTATTAAATGTTAATATCTTATTTTATTTAATTCAATCATTGATTTCTAGATTATTATTTAAACTTTAAATAAATTAAATATTTACTATAATATAATCTTATAATTGACGTTTGTTTATATTTTAAACATATTATATATTAAAAATTGTAGCAGATTAAATTTAAGTAGGTAATAATAGTAAAATTTTATTTAAAAAATTATAAATTTAACATAATAATTTTTTTATTTAATAAAAATTTAATCATCTTTAGAATCTTAAACTCATTCTTAAGAATCGATATAGATAAATTTTTAAAAAATATTTAGTAACACATTAAATAATTTTTAGATTTTATAAATTTAATCTACTTAATAAAAACTGTTAAATTAACAAATTTGGATGTTGATAAAAGGTTATGAGAAAGTTAATCAAAATTTATTTTACTCTAGATCTCTGGTCTTATGCGTACTTTTAACTCTTCTTTTATTTTTATTTTCTATTTCTCACTCTTTTTTTTTTTCCCACATTCATCTAACGCTCTACAAAGGGGTAATAGAAAATATGTGTTCTATACAAACACGTTATTTCATTCATAACGATAACAATACCCATCAACGTGACGTGCCATATTAAAAAAATTCCTCATATGACGCTAACGTGAAACCTAATCTCACAAACAATTGATTCATATAATAAGTAGGACTTCTCCATTAATTATGGTGTGTTTTGTTTCCCATTTCTCTGCACATTATGCTCATGCAAGCTCATACTAAACTCAGAACAAGCTGCTCTGAAATCCAATGCCAAATATGGACACAGAAAACCATTACATTGTAGAAGTAGAATTTTGACATGCAATTATTATAGCACTAAAAAAAGGTAGGTATAGGGTAGCTGATCTGAAGACAAGGTTGCCGGAATCTAGTATTCACGCCAGACAAGTGAGCAGGAATGGAAGAGAACAATCGTTTGCAGGGTTAAATCGATTGGATTTGTAACGCCCCAGAAAGCGAGGAGCAGACTGCGGTTAAAAGATTTGCATACTGGTAAACTTTAATCTCTGCCATTGAAACAATAAAGTTTAAAGTTTTCAAATACTAATATTGTGAAGCAGTGTCCATCGATTATATTCAGAAGTAAATTATGAAATTCTGACACACAACATGATTGCAACCTGTGATTTCCAGTCGAGAGGGTCAGAGGGATGGAGAACACTCTTCGGACAAAATGATTCATGAAAAAGCAAAACATCCTCGTTAATTAATTTATCTACTATATATGTACCTAAGTCTTCAAGAGGTTTATTTTTATATATATAGAATTTTTAAATATGGCGTTTTTAAAATATTAAAAAAATGAAATTTAAAATTCGACAGACAAGTGTAACTTCATAAAAAAACAACGAAATATTATAAAATTTTAAAATTTTTTAATAACGATTATTTAAAAATAAAAAATTAAAACTATTCAATTTTTAAAAAAAAATAATAAAAATTTTAAAGTAAAAAAAAGTGCCATTGAATTTTTAAAAAAATAATAATAATATTTTAAAAATACCAAAATAATATTGTTAAAATTTTTATATATTTATATTTTTTTTTTCAAAACACTGTATTTTAATAATTTTTTCATACAAAGAAAAAGAGTAAAAAGTCCTTGGTGGTTGTTTTTTTTAAACAAAGCCATGAAGTGTCTGATTAAAAAAATATTTAGTATGTTTTATTTAATGATTTTTAATTATTTAAAGGTTTTTTTTGTTAAATATTTGTATCTTAAAAATTCTGTTTGAATATTTAATATTCCTATTATTATTAAATATTTTTTAGTTTGAATATAATAAATATTTTTATTTTTAATCATTGCAACTCATTAATATCTATCTTATTTGAAAGAATATTAAATAAAGTAGAACTAAAGATGTATTTAAAAATTATTTTTTAATATTTTTTATCAAATAAATTTTCTATTAATTAAAAGCTTTTAAAGACACTATAATATCTTCCTCAATCAAATACACTTTTTTTTTCCGAATATTGAACAGGTCCTGACAGAGAAAAAAAGTTTTTAAAAGATTTCACTGTTCGTCATATTTTCCAATGCAAAGATATATAAGAAACCTGAACTCCTTGGGAAAAAGAAAGAAACCTCGAACCCTTTTCTTTACAAATGGTACAAGTGGGTTCTTACCATTCAGAAAAATCTTTAAATTCATAATTCGATCTCCCTTTTAATTTCTTCCCTACCAACAGACTAGAGTCAGCATTATTAGCATATTTCGCTTGAGCATTCCAAGTTTTCAAGTACTTACCAACAACAACACCATCACTCATGCATACACATTTTCAGATG